GGGACCACCTTTACCGATCACGCTAAACCAACGGTTTTACTTGCCTCTCTCGGGACTTACGACCGGGACCACGTGCTCCTAGGGTCGACCAACGTATAAGTACCTCGCAGTACTACACTTATACCCATTAAAGAACCAGAATGTCTAAACTCTTAATTACTTAAGGATTTTCAGATTAAGATACAATTTTAAACAAATATTAGTTTGAACCTAAGCACAAAGATTTCCTGCTTCTCTTAATTTTCTTTTAAGATACCTAATATTACACTGATACCAGATTTTTATCCAATTGTATAGAATTGGGTCGTTTTGTCTTAATTCAGTTTTATTCAGGTGTTTTCTAAATTTTCTTTTAAGACAGCATAATCTTCTAACCATACTAACTGCTGGATTTGGACTATGTTCTGGTCTAAGATTAGCATCATTTAAATTATTAACAAACTCTAATCCTGGTAATACAGGGTGTGGAAGATGAGCGAATTGTTCTCTGGGTGGTGAATCTAACATGTTATAAGGGTTTGGTGCATAAATTGGATATTCCATTATATTATCCCCCAAAAGAAAATTTAGAATGATTTTATAGAAAAGATATAAATACAACAAAAATATAATTCTAGCAAATATTGATAAAATCAAATCACAAATCATTCGAGAGGATTAAAACTATTGATACAAATCAATAGTGGATCTCGAAGCGTTGGCTCGAGATCAACAATAACCCACAAGCATGAATCATATATAAATATAAATATATTGATACATATATGTAAAAATATAAAGATATAAATATATGTAAAAATATAAATATATAAATATGTAAAGATATAAATATATATCTTTAATATTTTTTATATGTAAATATAATTTATATATATTTTTAAACCTTTTTCTAATATTATTTTTTAAAAATAAAATATTATTTTAAAATTTAATATTTAAATTTTTAATTTTTTCTTAAATATATAAATATATAAAGATATAAATATATAAATAAATATATAAATATATAAATATGTAAATATATAAATATATAAATATGTCAATATATCAATATATCAATATTTAAATATATATTAAAATATATTTGTATTTATAGGTTTTATAAATATATAAAGATATAAATATATATAAAGATATAAATATATATAAATATATAAAGATATAAAGATATGAATATATGGAAAGATATAAAGATATAAATATATGTAAAGATATAAAGATATAAAATATAAAGATATAAATATATAAATATGTAAATATATAAATATATATCTTTAATATTTTGTACATGTAAATATAAATCATTTTCTAATATTTATTTTTAAAAATATAATATTAATTTTAAAATTTAATATTTAATTTTTTTTTCAAATATATAAATATATAAAAATATAAATGTATAAGGATATAAATAAATATATAAATATATCAAAATATAAATATTTAAATATATAAATATATAAATATATCAAAATATAAATATTTAAATATATATATATATATATATATATATATATATATATATGAATATTATCCCCTCATATATTATTATACATTATTAACGTAATTTTAGTTTAATTAAAAATTAGAATACAAATATATTATATTATATTAATATACCATTAAGTTATAATATTTGTAATTTATTTTTATTGTGTATAAATTACAAAACTAATAATTTTAAAAAAAATTAATGATAATTTTTTTAATTTATATATTACAAAATATTTTTTAATACTTTAATAAATATAACTTTTTTAAAATATTTTCATCAATTTAAAGTATAATTTTTAATATTTTTTAGTATTTTTTTAAATGTGGATATCTTTAATATTTTGGACATATAAATATAATTTATATATGTTTTTAAACCTTTTTATAATATTTATCATTTTTAATATTTTATAGATTTTATATTATATATTTATAAAAGTAATTGGATTAAATTTATTATCTCCTCATATATTATTATACATTATTAGCATAATTTTAATTTAATTAAAAATTATAATACAAATATACTATATTATACTAATGTATCATTATATTATTTTCATTGTATATAAATTACAAAATTAATAATTTGTATACTATACTAATAGTATAATATACTATATTATAATATTATTTGTATACAAAACTAATATCTTTATATCTTTATATATAAATATATAAATATGGAAAAGATATAAATATATGTAAAAATATAAAGATATAAATATATCAATATTTAAATATATATTAAAATATATAAATATATTTTTATTTATATATTTTATATTTATACGGATATACATTTATTTGTATATAAATATAATTTATTTGTAAGTTATTATTAAAAAATCCTAGTAGCTCGATGGTTGGAGTTTCAGACTTCCAACTCTAAGGTACCGGATTTGAATCCCGACAATGACAATAAATATAGTAATAAGTTAAACTTTTAAAAAATATAATATAATTAAGAGTTACTTGAAAATAAATATAATATAAAAAGAGGTAGGGAAAATAAATAATAAATATAATTAAAAATGTAAATAAATAAAAATAATTAACTTTGTTATTGATTTAACGATCGATTTTTTGACATTAGCGACCGAAAGATTAATCATTTAGGTCATATAGTTAATAATTTAATTTCTGCAACGAATAAATAAGGGTAAAAGCGCAATTTAGAGTTATTATTTCTTTATAAAAATGGTCTATCATAAGGAACCCGAAATAGTCGTTGTAGAGGTGCTAATACCTTCCTCATACATAACTAACTTCCTTACCCAACTCTGGTTGTAATTATCAAAGTTGGTTTTTATTTAAAAACCACTGCCTTCTTTTTTCCTTTTTCAATGTTTCTGGTAAAAATATTGGTACGCGACTCCTCGAATCTTTTCAAAAACCTCACCTTTAAGTTCAGTCCGGTTATCGGACAATCTAAAGACGTTGAACCATGCTTTTTAAAATGCAAGTCGATCAGAACCATTGCGTCACTCCGACCGCCTCATCTTGACATCAGCGACACTTGTGATCATGGGTTTGATGGCCATGTTCAATGGGAGATCTACATGTAGAGGTCAACCCCTTAAATATCTTTGTTAGATAAGTTTTATACTCTTATATATTTAAATGATTTATTTATTATAAACTTATTTAATTTTAAACAAATATTAAGGTTAATTTAAAAATAACAATGAAAATGGCGATTGAAAGAGACAAGTAATTAAAAAAGTAGCATGAATTAAATTTTAGGGTAACCCATAAAAATCCCTAAATATTAAATATGTCCCCTTAAACATTTTCATATTAATTTTACTCTTTTGAAAGTAAACCTAAATTTTATGTCGTTGTTAATAGCGATAGATAGAAAACTTATATTGATGACGTTGATAACATAATACTAATTATATAACACAAATTACATATAATAATAGAATTTATGTATTAAAATCGTCATCCACGTTAAGTTTTCCTTTATTCTTATTACTAACAAGTATTTAAAATATTTTCAAGTTTTAGATTTACGAAGATAATATAAATTTTTGAACGTATTTAATACATTTATAAAATAAGAAGGATGCAACACATTTTTTACCCTAAATTTTATTATCAAGAAATTTTTGAACTAGTCATTAATTAAATTAAAAAATATAATATATTATTTAATTTAATTAAAATATTATAAAATATTTAAATATTTAACATATGATAAAATGATAACGAATTTTCTCATAATTGAACACAAGAATGGATCTAAATTTATTCAATTTTTAAAAAATATTTTAAAGTGAGAGAAAATAAAACAAAATACATAATTTTTAAACTAAAGATTAATTTGTATAAATTAATTTCTAAAAATAGAATTCTCTCATGCCAATTTTTACAATTTTATTTTTTAACCTTTGTATAATTTATAAAGAAGTTTTCAGGTTTTTTTATTAGTGTTTGTGGATAATCGTATCTAAATTGATACCAATAGTATATATGTAGGTATGTTAAAAATAAGTCAACATCATAAATAATATATTTTAAAAAAATTACATAAATAAAATTCTTTTAAGTTTATTTATCTAATTAGTTTATTATTTATACAAAAAATTTAATAAAGAAAAAATATTTTTGTATATAATACAAATGTTTTCTTCTTTTTATTTTCTTATTTATTTTCTTTCTTTTTTCCTCTTTTTTCTTTTTCTCTCTTGCTCTTCTCTCCCTTCATCTTATTTTTTAATCAAAAATAATAAATTAAAATTTGATAATATAAGTCTTTTATTATTATTATTATTATTATTATTAAAAAAATAATTCAGAAATATAATAATTTAATATATTATATTTAAAAAATATTATAAAATAAATATGAAATATTACAAATATTATTTTTATTTTATAATTATTAAGAAAAAATAAATATTTTTTAATACATATTTTTAAAATTATCTAACCTAATTAATTATCATAACTCAAAATTATTATAATTAAATATAATTATTAAATAAAAATAATTTTAATTTAAATATTTGATCTATTTTTAATTAGACGAGTAATTATTTATTATAATAAAATAATTTTAATTATGTTATCATAAATAAAATTATTTATTGTTAAAATAAATAAAATTATTTATTATCATCATAATTTTAAATAATTAATTAATAATTTGTAGTTTTAATATTGTTTTTAAAATATTTATTTTAACATATTTTTATTAAATTTTAATATAGTAATTCAATTAGGAAAATATTAAATATGATAAAAAAATAAATAAATTAAATTTAGAAAAGAGAAAAAAATTACATATAAACAACAAATAAATTTATATAAATTTTATTTGAGTAATATTTTTAAAATATATTATTTTTACGATTTTTTTTATAAAATAGTAAAAAATAAAAAATCATTTTGAAGAAAAATACAAAAATAATACTTATAAACTCAAATAGAGCTTTAAAAACAGACGAAGTAAAAATAATGAAAAGGAGAGTGAAGCGGTGAAGAGTGAAGAAAGAGTGATGGAGGGTGGGAACGGAAACCGTGGCTCCTCTTTCTCCCAATCACGTCACAGTCGTGGTCGTGGTCGTGGTCGTGGTCGTGGTCACAGATTTCGTTCAAATCAATCCAAAGTTTCAAGCTTTGATGAAAGGGTTACTTCTTCTAGCAGTGGCAGCAGAGCTTCCACCTCTGTTCTCGGTGACAAGCAAGAAGAGGATGCACAACCATCATCCAATTTTGTTGGAACATGTCCTTACATGTGCCCAGGTAAACATATTATTATAATAATAATGTATTTAATGTATGAAAGCGAAATCAATTTCATGGTAGCGTAGTTACAAGAATTTTCCATGTGATGACGTGTCCTTTTGGAGTGATTGGTGAAGAATGGGAGAGTGGGGTTGTTACATTGGGGATTGAGTCAAGAGGTTAATCACCCATAGTCTAATGAATCAAGTTTTGAATCTTGATGAAAGAGATGTTAACATTTAATGTCTGATCGTGTCTTAAATAATGTTGGGTTTTGTAGAGTATATGTGTGAAACTAAAAGAGAGTGAATGAGTGGATTTTTTTTAATGTAATAATATTTTTTAGCAGTTACTGTTAATTGAATTACGAGGTCAATGAAGGAAATATCATTAAATGGTTTCCTTTAGTGGCCTAAATCCTTTCTGATGTACATTGAGGTTATTAGGTTAGTATATGGAGTGATATTGTTTGAGCTAGTGAAGTTAAGGGGGTAGAAAGAAAATGATGCAGGCTGCAAAGGAACCATTCTGAAGTGCTGATGGAAAGAAGCTATTTTTTTAGGATTGTTGTGGTTTGCTTTATAATTTGGTGAGGGAATTCAGTTTTAAGGACACTTATCCATAAGGCTATGGTGATTATCGATGTTGCTGCTAGTTTCTAGTGGATGTGTTTCATGTAGTCGCAATTTCAGTTGTGAAAACATCCAAAGCTGTGTAATAAGGAGGCTGCAATTGCAGTTGTGAACTACAATTTCAAACCTTTGTTTATTGACGAGTAATTTTTTGTCTTTGGACAGTGGATGTTAGGTTTCGACTAGTTGTAATATAGGGCGAGAAAATGTAAGGGGGCAAAACAATAAAAGGGTTCTATGGGTGAACTATTAAGTGTATGCTTATGTTAATTGTTAATAGTGTTTTTATTTTTATTTTTTTATGAAACATGTATGCATAGGTATCACTATACCAGCCGTAGGTTCTTTTTTATTCTTAACAATCTGGAATTTGGTTTATCTTTTTAACGTCTAGGAAATTTTTGTTATTCCATATTTTAAAACCCAAGTGCTGTTGTAATGTTCTGTTTAACATCTTATACTACTGAGTGTGAGACTTAGACGAAGACCAATAATACCGTTGTCTCTATCATAGCATTGCCCCTAAGAGTTAACGTCTCGATGACATTTATGCTCAACACTTTACTTGGTGACACTTCACTCAACTTTCTTGTTAGTTGGAACCCTTCTTAGATATCCCTATCCAAAACAACTTTAGCACTATCATAGAAATGGGAAATCCTTTGTGAAGGTGAGATCCTTGAAGTTTTACTCATTTTCAATCGAGAAAGTCATTCTCTTCTTTTCTCTATTTTTCACTTTGGGTTCCTAATAATTTGCAATATAATGAAATGCAAATTACTTGGAAGGGAAAATTGGAGATCATTTTGGTGTTACTTGAGATTGAAAGGTGCTGCACATGCTTAAGGAAAAATTGTCACAACCATATGGTTACAAATGCTTTTTGATCTTGATTGTGAACTGTGTATCACAGAGATGAGGATTCCGCAATGAGTTGGTAGACATACAAGAATAGTTGAGATTAAGAATTAATGTATTAATTAGTGCAAAGTAAGAGCAGTGTATAGTCATGAAAACGTTGTAGGATTGCAGCATAGATGGTTTGGACATGGGAAGAAGATCAATACATGCATTGGTAAGAAGAGTTAATTAGATGGAGGATATTTCCATTGTATGAGGTACAGAAAAACCAAGAAAAACTGTTAAGGTATAAGGTGAAGGAGAAGTTAGTTAAGATAGTTAGCATATTAATGATTAGCTAGTTTCTTGAGGTGTTATATAGATATAAATAAGATAAGAAGGATAGGAAAAGGGGGTTTTCATTTTGTAAATTGAGCTTAGCTCTTTGTGAAAGGAAAAATATTTTGCGAAGGGGAAACCCTTGGTGGAGAGAGTGCTCTCCTATCTTTTGTTCTTTTCATTCTATTGAATAAAAAAATTTCTTTTCTTTCTCTTTTCAGTTCTTGGTTCCTAACAAAAACTGTAAGAGAAATCATTAAATTTGAATGGCCTTTCCAATGACTTGGGTTTTGACAAAACACAGTGGTGTCATTTCTCTGTTGATCTATGTCACTAACTCACTTTGTGTAGGAAGAGGCTTCTCTTGTCTATTTTAGCTTTGTCAATTCATGATAGCATAAACTTTTCTCTATAAAAAATATTAAGACACCTGCTTCTATCAAATTTCATTATATGTAATATGTATACCTGAAACTTCTATTTTCAAAAATTTTCACTTTATCCACAGAAAGAGAGAGGACCCAACGTGAAAATATGCGAGATTTGGCAGTTTTTGAGAGGCTAAATGGAAATCCTAGAAAATCATCTCCAGCTCTTGCTATCAAGAAGGTATGGTCAAACTGCTCTCGTATGTTGTCTGATATTACCTTACTAAGTGTGATATTAGAGTAGTGTTTTACTTAATAGATTCTGTCAAGTTTAAGGATGTACTCTCAAAGCACCATGGTCAATTTACTTTTAATCAACTTTTGACAATCAGAAGTGCATTGAAGGGTAAAGTTGCAAATAAATTTATTATAACGGTAGCATTTATACCTGAATTTGATGATTCCCCTTGAGAAACTTATTTGGGGTTTCAATACAGTGTCAAAGGGCACTGTTACATTGTATTTATAGATAAAATAGATACAATAGAGAGGATATGGACCTCAGCCCAAACCCTTAACCCTAGTCTAAGGAACATACATAGAGAATATTAAAAGGTAAAAACAACATGTCTCAACACTCCCCCTCAAGTTGGAGCATATAGATTGTATATACCAAGCTTGGAACAAATGAACTGAATCCTAGGTCCTCTCAAGGATTTAGTTAAAATGTCCGTCAGTTGCTCAATAGAGCTTACAAATTCAATTACAAGTTCCTTAGACATTAATTTTTCTTTGACAAAGTGACAATCAATCTCGATATGCTTTATTCTTTCATGAAACACTGGGTTGGAGGTAATATGGATAGCTGCTTGATTATCATAAAACAACTTCATCTGTCCATTATGACAAAATTTTAATTCTTGAAGGAGTTGTTTGATCCACACAAGTTCACATTTAACAAGTGTCATAGATCTATATTCAGCTTCTGTACTAGATCGAGCAACACTTTACTTTTTACTCTTCCAAGAAATCAAATTTCCTCCAATAAAAATACAATACCCAGTAGTAAATCTTCTATCAATGGGACAACTAGCCCAATTTGCATCACAATAACCTATAATTTGAGTATTACCTTTATTTTCATATAACAATCCTTGTCCTGGGGCCCCTTTAACATATCTCAGAATGTGAATCAAGGCATCCCAGTGATGAGTACAAAGATTTTACATAAATTGGCTAACTACTCCAACTGCATAAGAAAGATCTGGTCTGGTAATAGTAAGATAAATGAGTTTACCAACCAACCTCTTGTATCTTTCTGGGTTTGCCAACTTTTTTCCTTTATCTCCCATCAATTTCTGATTATGGTCCATTGGAGTATCAATGGTTTACAATTTGTTAAACCTGTCTCCTTCAGAATATCAAGAACATACTTCATTTGAGAGATGACTATACCTTCCTTTGATTGAGTCACTTCAATACCAAGGACATACTTCAATTGACCAAGATCTTTGGTTTGAAAGTGAGCAAATAGATGATTATTCAGTTGATTGATTTTAGTGTAATCATTGCCTGTAATAACAATATCATCAACATAAACCATAGATACATACTTGCCTGAAGAGGAATGACAATAAAACACTGAGTGATCTACTTTACTCCTTTTCAAGCCAAACAACTGTATAACATGACTGAATTTCTCAAAGCAAGCTCGAGGTGACTACTTCAAGCCATAAAGAGACCGGTGTAGTTTGCACACTAAACCCGACTCCCCCTGAGCAACAAAGTCAAGACGTCATTCCATATAAATCTCTTCATCAAGGTCACCATGAAGAAAAGACGAATAGTGAAAATCTTAGCTATGGGAGAAAAGATATCATAGTAGTCGGGGCCATAAATTTGAATGTAGTCTTTAGCTACTATACGAGCTTTAAGACGATCTACTTTATCATTATTATCAACTTTAACTGCATAGATCCACCTACAGCCTACAACCTTTTTGCTAGGAGGAAGAGGGACAAGCTGCCAAGTGCCATTGTGCTCAAAAGCCTGCATTTGATCAATCATGGCTTGTAGTCATCCATGGTGATCAAGAGTCTCGTGGATAGTATTAGGATTAGTGATGTCAGCCAAAGAGACAACAAAAGAGGAATACAAAGGAGACAAACGATGGTAACTTAAAAATTTATAAATAGGAATGGGATTTCGAGAGGAACGAATACCTTTTCTGAGTACAATAGGTCATCCAGAATCAGAAGTGGGAGAGGAGGTTGAAGGATCCATGGTATGAGAAGCTGATATGAATCTCAATTACACAAGGGGTAATTTAGGATCTTTAGGGTTAGAACCTTATAAGAAATTTAGGAATTAGAAAGAAGGTGGAAGGAAAGAATCACTCTTCCCAAGGGAGGCAACACACAAAGGATGTGACAGTCCTTTTATACAGCCAAGGGTTCTTGAATCACTCAAGAATTTAGGAGAATCACTCTCACTAAGATAAAAGAGATAAACTCTAATATTTCTGAATAAAATTCCACTTGTTATTTCTTGATAAAAATGGTTCAGCTGATATAGAAGCGTTGCCATCAGAATTACAAAAGACTCAATAAAAGAAAATAAATACTAATAATAACCCCATTAATCTAGGAATTGAAAACTATTTAATGAAAACAAATAAAGGCTAATAATGATCCATTAACCTAGGAATTGAAACTACTTAATGACTGATTGTATCTGAAACTGTGGCAACCAAAAGTCAATCAGCTATGCACCCCTTGTCTCCCAAAGGCTGATGACTAAATTTTCAATTGGGTCCTTATTACAACTTAAAACAAAATCAAACTAAAGCCCATTAATTGATTAATTCAAAACATAATTTGGTCAACCAACAGTATTTGTTGAAGAGCTTCCTTTATTTCCCTTGTTCTAGTCCTTAAATCGGATTCATCCCTCTTGAAAAGGATTCATCACTCTTGAAAAGGAATCATAGGTCATGTTCACATCATTCTTTCCCTCTTGAAAAGGATTTGTCCTCAAATCGGATTCATCATCTACATAAAAAAGAGATAAGTCTGATAAATTGAATGTAGAACTAACATTATACTCACTTTTTATGGCTAAATAGTTATCCCTCACTTCAAGTGTTTCACTCTTCTTTTGATCACTCTTTTTCCTCTCAAGTGTTTCACTAACGCTTTCTTTCTCTCTTTTTTCTTGAAGAAGTTTTTCTTTCATTTTGTTTTTATCCTCACATACTTCTTGTGGATTCAAAGGTTTGAGCACAATCTTCTTGTCTTGGTGCATGAAAGAGATCTTGTTGGTGAACCCGTTATGATTAACTCTTTTATCAAATTGCCATGGTCTCCCCAAAAGTAAGTGACTGACTTCCATAAGAATAATATCACAAAGCACCTTATCATTGTATTTTCCAATGGAAATGTCCACTTCAACTTGTTGTCTCACTTGCACCTCTCCATCCTTACTAAGCCATTGAAGTTTATATGGCCTAGGATGTGGTTTGGTAGCTAAATTTAACTTTGATACTAATCTAGCACTAGCCACATTGGTGCAACTACCTCCATCTATGATCATCATGCACACCTTGTCATTGATTAAACATCTAGTGTGAAAAATATTTTTTCTTTGGCTTTCTTCCATAGGTTTCAATTGACTATCAAGTAATCGCCTAATCATCAATAAATCTTCCTTTGGAATTTCCTCCTCCTCCTCCTCCTCCTCCTCAGTGTTTTCACTCTTTTCTCCCTCTTCAACCTCAGATTCACTTATATATTCTCCCTCTCTAAGAATCATGGTCTTTGTGTTAGGGCACTCATAAGCATAGTGTCCTAGGCCTTGACACTTGAAACACTTCACATCTCTACTTTTTTTAGAAGGTTGTTCTTCATATTTTGAATGAGTCTTTGTAGGAATAGGTGTGGAACTACTAGAAGTAACAGTCCCATCTTTTTTGCCTTTGTCCTTCCAACTTGAAAATCCAAAGTTGGAAGAACTCTTCTTAGTCATTTCTTTTCTTTTGAGTTGTTGCTCCACTCGAATTGCTTTATGAAGTAAATCCTCCATATCAACAAACTCCTGCAACTCAACAATATCACATATATCAATATTCAAACCACCAATAAATCGGGTCATAGTTATCTCTTCATCTTCTTCAATCTTTGCTTGAATCATGAGCATGTCCATTTCTTTGAAATACTCCTCAACCCCCTATTGCCTTAAGTAAGTTTTTGGAGTTTAAATTTCAAGTCCCTTGCATAACTAGCCGGCACATACCGCTTCCTCATGATCCTTTTCATCTCAGTCCATGTATCAACCATTGACTCTTCATTTCTATCTCTCTCTTTTTGTAGCTTGTTCCACCAAACAAGAGCATAGTCAGAAAATTCCATTGTTGCAAGTCTCACCTTTTGGGTCTCCTCATAATTGTTACATGAGAAAACATGTTCTATTTTCATCTCCCACTCCAAGTATGCCTCTGGATCACTTTTTCCTTTGAATGGAGGAATGTTAAGCTTGACTCCTTCAAGCCTACTTGGTCTTGTTACTTCATAATTCATTCTCCTATTTCTCCTTTCTTCTTCGTCTTCAGGATTTCTATTCTCCAACCGGTTCAATCTTTCATGGAGTTCATTGTTATGTCGTATCATTAATCTTTCTAAATGTTGTACCAATACTCTCATTTGTAATGGACTAATTCCTGCTTCTTGATTGTAATTTTCCTCTTCTGCCATCAATTTGATGTTTAAATCCTTAAACCGGGGCTCTGAATACCAACTAATATGAATCACAAGGGGTGATTTAAGATCTTTAGGGTTAGAACCTTGTAAGAAATTTAGGAATTAGAAAGAAGGTGGAAGGAAATAATCACTCTTCCCAAGGGAGGCAACACACAAAGGATGTGACAGTCCTTTGATACAGCTAAGGGTTCTTGAATCACTCAAGAATTTAGGAGAATCACTCTCACTAAGATAAAAGAGATAAACTCTAATATTTCTGAATAAAATTTCACTTGTTATTTCTTGATAAAAATGGTTCAGCTGATATAGAAGCGTTGCCATCAGAATTACAAAAGACTCAATAAAAAAAATAATACTAATAATAACCCATTAATCTAGGAATTGAAAACTATTTAATGAAAACAAATAAAGGCTAATAATGATTCATTAACCTAGGAATTGAAACTACTTAATGACTGATTGTATCTGAAACTGTGGCAACCAAAAGTCAATCAGCTATGCACCCATTGGTCTCCCAAAGGCTGATGACTAAATTTTCAATTGGGTCCTTATTACAAATTAAAACAAAATCAAACTAAAGTCCATTAATTGATTAATTCAAAACATAATTTGGTCAACCAACAATATTTGTTGAAGAGCTTCCTTTATTTCCCTTGCTCTAGCCCTTATCATAGGTCATGTTCACATCAGAAGCTGATGGAGAAGGTTCTGAATCACGATTATTTGCAAAATTTGGTAAAGGTGTGGGTGGGGTCCTACAGTGATATGTAAGAAGAGGAGGAAAATCATTGAGACCTATAGGTGGAATTGGACAAGGATTAGGTATTATAAGTGGATCACATGAGGGTACAGGAAGAACATTTTGAATAGAGGAACCATCCTCCATGGGGAAGAAAAAAAAGGGTGTTTCCTCAAAGAAGGTGACATTAGCAGACATGTAATACCTTTTGGTGGATAAAGAATAATATTTGTACCCTTTTTGGAGGCGAGAGTATCCTAAGAAGACACATTTAATGGTTTTAACACTTAACTTATCAAGACCTAGATAGACATTATGTACAAAACAAGTACAACCAAATACACGAAGAGGCATATGATGAAGAGGATCATCTGGAAAGATACGAGAATGAGGAATTTGATTTTTGAAGAGAAGAAGTGACATTCGATTGATAAGAAAACAAGCAGTGAGAATTGCATCTCCCGAATGATGAAAAAGAACATTGACATTCAACATTAGAGAGCATGCAATTTCAATAGAGATGCCTGTTTTTCCTTTTTGCAATACCATTTTGCTGTGGAGTGTGAGGGTAAGTTGACTAATGTAAAATGCCTTGAAAAGATAAACAAGAAGAGAAGGAGGCCGAAAAATATTCTTTGGCATTATCACTTCTAAGAACTTTAATTCTCTTCCCAAATTGATTTTTAATTTCTTTGAAGAAGGACAAAAAAATGGACAAAATTTTAGATTTGTCTTTCATTAAATAAACCCAAGTACATATGGAAAATTCATTAATAAAGGTTACAAAATATCAGAAGCCAAATGAAGAGACATGACTCGGTCCCCAAACATCAGAATGAATATTTGAAAAAGGAAAATTCCATTGAGTTTCAAAGTATTTAGGAAATGTAGACCTAGCATGTTTTCCTAATTGGCAAAATTCACATTCTAAAGCCCGAAGATGTTTGAGATTAGGAGCCATCACTTTCAATTTTGATAAACTTGGGTGACCCAGACGATCATGCAAAAGTTTAGGAGTAGGAGAAGCAAGATATGACATCGAAGGACTTGGATTTAGATAGTATAGACTACTTGATTCATGTCCTTCTCCAATCAGACGATTCGTACCATGTTCCTGAATAACAAAACAATTAGAATTAAAGATTTCAAAACAATTAAGAGAACAAGTCAATTGACTTAGAGAAATCAAGTTATAAGGGCAATTAGGAATGGAAAGAACAAAATTTAAATTCATTGAAGGGGTTAAAGCAACATGGCCAATTCCTTGTGACTTTACTTTAGATCCATTAGCCACAATAATTAGATGAGGAATTTTCGGATAAGACATGGAGGAAAATGAGAAACTATTACTAGATATATGATCAGAGACACCTGAATCAAGAATCCATGGGTTCTGACCTTCCATAGATTGAGAAATGCATGCTGTTGAAACACTAGGCATTGAAAAAGATTGATCTGACTGTTGAATTTTCCTAATTTGAACTTCAAAAACTCTTGATACTTCTCATCAGAGACCTTCATATCCGATTTTTCAGACTTAGAGACATGGACAGAATATTCCTGTCAGGAAAACTGTGTAAGGAATAGCAGTTTTCTTGCGTGTGTCCCATCTTCTTGCAATAGGAACATCGAGGACGACCTTTTGTACTCTCACGACTGTTACGTCCTCCCCCTCGACCACGAAGAGCAACCATAGCTGAAGTTTCAACTGTCTCCACCTGATTCTCATCTGTCATAAGATTGGGAACTCGAATTAGTCTCGTGACAAGATTATTCATTGATAGAACCTGATCACCAACTAAGATTTGATCACGAACGTGATCAAAATCAGAGTGCAGACTCTTCAAAATTAGGACCATATACAACTTATCCAGTTTGAAGTTTAACTCCTCTAAGATATTTTCCATAAGAAACCTTTTTAATTCCTCCACAACAACCCTAGCTTTTGCAATGTGAGATATCATGTTATGATTTGTCTGTTTGAAAGACGTCACTCTTTGAGTTGTATCAAAGAGACGCTGAATATCGTTAGTAAAAATGTCTTGAGCCTTCTTCCACAAGGAAGAGTAAGTTTTGAATGACCTGAGAAGCTTTAAGAACCTCAGGTTCCATAGATTGCCATAAGATTGCACAAAGCTGGAGATCTATTTTCTCCCATTGAGACCTCTCCGAGGTAGAAATAGAGTTCAAATCTTTCTTCAGATGGTCATGATACCCCTGACCTATAAACCATAGTTTAACTAATGCAGACCAGAATAGATAATTTTTCCATTTGAGTTTGACACTGGTTATGGTGGGAGTAGTAGAGAAAGAAAAAACACTAGATGAAGGCATGTATTTGAATCAGAGATGAAAGATAAACCTAACCAATAGGGTACCCACGTGACCTAACTTTCAAAGTTCTCAAAACAGAAAAATAAGGGGCATCACTGGACTTGGAGGACGCTGGCGAGTCGACCGGTGCTAATCGGCCTTGATTCCGGCCACTGGAGGGCAGCGTGTGGGACACACGCGCCTGAGGGCTCTGCCTGGAGAAGCTACATGTGACGGTGCGTGGGGCCGCAAATGGAGGAGCGCTTGCCGGGGGTTGGTAGCGCTCTTCGAGACCCACAAAACCCCACCTTCATCGGACCAAACTAAGATGGTGGCCGAAGATGATAGGGACGACCGAAAATCAGTGTGAGATCGTACCCATTTTGATACCAACTTGAGAAACTTTTTTAGGGTTTCAATACAGTGTCAAAGGGCACTGTTACATTGTATTTATAGATCAAGTAGATATAACAGAGAGAATATGGGTCTCAGCCCAAACCCTTAACCCTAGTCTAAGGAACATACACAGAGAATACTAAAAGGTAAAAGCAACATGACTCAACACCCATAAGAAGTTGTGTCAAGTTTTATAATTCAGTTATCAAAATTTTAAGAAATTCATAAGTTGTATGCTGAAACTTCGTTGTATTTCTTTGTATGTTTTACTTGTATAATCTGTTATAAAGCACTAAATTAATGCCTAGTTTTTCATTGTCCCTTGTCTATTCTTTTACTTATAGCTTAACAACTGATTAATGCTAGCAATAAGGCCTGTTTGGACAAACTTGTCCATAAAAACTTCCAGGAGAGAAAATTATAAAAAAAAAAATTAAATTGACTTCTCTACAGGCTAAAATTAACTTATGCACAAGTTTAAAATAAGAATTTAGACAACGTATATGAGGGTGTTTTTACAAAATTGCTTATGCATAAGCTAATTTTAACACATGAAGAAACTGATTTCATTTTTCCTTATTATTTTTCTTTCTTATAAGTCCTAATGGAGAAGTTTGTTCAAATTGACCCATGCATTATAATGTAAAATTTATATTGTATGTTTTTTATTTGCTGTCCATTTACTTCTATCACATCTTATATCCCTGTATCCAACATTGATCATGGTTTTATATCATATAAGTGGCTTTTTGTTAAGGATCAACTCTGTTATTAAATACCTGTTGGTTTCATAGTTTTTCTTCTTTAGTTTTGCAGAACTATATCCACCAAATATGTTCAAGCATCAGATTTACGGCCTATTGCTGTTTTGGAAAATACTTTAAATTACCTTTTGAGTTTGCTGGAATCTAAAGAGCACTCATTTGAAGAAGTTCATGACTTCATCTTTGATAGGACAAGGTCCATACGTCAAGATATTACTATGCAAAATATTGTGGACAACAAAGCAATTTACATGTATGAGGGAATGGTATAGATTTCTGTGTCAATTTTCTTACGATTTGTGTACTTTATTCTATTCTCCTGCAACTGTTTTTTATACTTGTTTTGCAACTTCAGGTTTAGCTAAACTTTGGAGGTCCATTTATCGCATATGCACAAATTATTTTTGACCCATTTGATGGTTATCTATAATAAATTTATCTTCAATGCATGTGCTTAAATCCAAATACTAGTCCTAGACTCCAAACTTGGGGACCTATTGCATCTACTGCTCCTTATGAACCTGACAAGGTTAGGTGACCAATTCAAATTGACAAAACGATGTCCGCACAAATTAGGGGAGTTCAACCCTCAAAAGGCATTGACTCCCACAATGGTTCCGCATGATGTCAATGTCCTTTATTCTTTGGTCCATTGTACTCCACTGAAAAGGGACAAGGGGGGCACCCACTGTCATGCAGCACTGTGGGCGGAAACAGAGCACAAAAAATCACTGTGTTGGGAATATGTGCAGATATAACGAGGCAGAAAGTGGGGAACAACTCTAGGCCTTGAAACCAAAAAGTAATTGGAATTTAGTGCCTGACTGTGCATCGAGTAGGATTGCTTCTGAAAGAAGATATTTGTGAGAAAAGAAAAAAAAAAAGAAAAAAACTTTAGGAGTTTAATCTTAACACATGTTGAATTGTAGGAGTGAAAGACAATCTTTCTTTCCAATCTTTTAAATTTTTTTGCAAAAACACAGTAAAACTCATGATTTTAAAAGAATGAGGCCCTTCGCAGCCCTACATGACACCTGAATATGTCCAATTCACATGGTTCCACTTAGAATTGTGATTCAGATGCAGTGGGATTGATTTTAAGTTCTATTTCATTCACCTTGACATTGGTATCAGATACAAAGGGAATTTGATTGGATTGTGTTTTGAATTTTTCTATTCATGTAACTCTAATAACTATGCCTTGGTGATCGCATGGTCATGAGCAAGCCAGAGAGTTGTTATAGTTATAAAGGTGGGATATTTTCATAAAGATTTGGACATCCAAGTTAGGACTGTAATAAAGATAGGCTATTATTTGGGTCTGCATATCATTTTCTTGGAGGTGTTTCCTCCTTCTTATGCCAGTCTAGAGATATACTCCGTCTGGACAGTGTACTGGATCAAGTGATCATGTAGTATTGTATGTTTTTTGAAGCACGGATTACAAACTATGAAATTCAAATATTGAGCTGACCAATATATTTAATTACACAGGTCAAATTCCATGTCGTATCACATTACAAACTTTGGTGTTCTATATCTGATCCAAACACTGCATCAATGCATCATCTCAACTTGGAACAGCTCACGAAGACATTGACATCTCTGTTCAATCTGTATGAGGCAAATCGAAATTCAAATTATGTGCACGAGAATGAAGCTGAATTCCATTCGTTATATGTGCTGCTTCATCTTGGTTCTTACAGTCAACCGATGGTTAATCTCTATATCATTGGTGTGATTAATTATGTTCTCCTTTCATACTAAATTTAACCTTGTTGCAACGTAAGTTATGAAATGTAGCTATTTGTAATCCACAGGGGGAGCCACTTTCTTTGTGGTTTAGACGTGTATCAACTCCAGTACTGAAGTCAAAAGAAATGTGCTTTGCTAGAAGAATCTTACGGTAACATTTATCGTAATCATTTATCATGAACCAATCATTGCTAAAGCTGCTTAAGTTGTAGATCAAGGCAGATGAATGATTTTATATTATATTTCTTACATGCCTTGTGAAACTTGAACCCTTTTGGCTTAAAACACAGACAGTGCACAGGACCACCTATCCTTTGCTGAAATTCAACTTCTTATTGAAAGAATTGGAGTAGCGGTTATTGATTGTGTTGAATATAGGGAAAAACTGTATAGGGTTAATTTTCCTTGTGTATTTACCACACATAGGGCAGTGTATTTATAATAAAGAAAGGTACTCCTCAAAAGAGTAACAGAATACAAATAGGGTAAATAAAAAATATTATTTGATATTGTGATTAACAATATCTAACAATATCTCAACAATATCAAATAATATCAACTAATATCTAATCATATCTAACACTCCCCCTCAAGCTGGAGCATACAAATCGTATGTGCCTAGCTTGGTACAAAGATAATCCATCCTAGGTCCCCGTAAAGACTTAGTGAAAATATCTGCTAATTGATCACATGAGTTAACGAACTCAGTCTTGATGTCTCCAGACATAATCTTTTCTCGAATAAAATGGCAGTCAATCTCAATGTGTTTAGTCCTCTCATGAAAGACAGGATTAGAGCTTATATGGAGAGCAGCCTGATTGTCACACACTAGTGTCATTTGAGTGACATCTCCAAATTGTAGCTCTTTAAGCAATTGCTTGAGCCAAATAAGTTCACAGGTAGCTGAGGCCATAGCTCTATACTCTGCTTCTGCACTGGATCTTGCCACAACACTTTGTTTCTTACTTTTCCATGAGATCAAGTTACCACCAATGGAAACACAATACCCAGATGTAGATCTTCTATCAGAGGGAGATCCTGCCCAATCAGCATCCGAATAGCAGACAACTCTTGTATGATTATGGGAGTCATACACCAAACCTTTTCCAGGAGACTTTTTGATGTACTTCAATATACGGATGACTGCATTCCAATGATCTTGACAAGGAGAATTGAGGAATTGACTCACCACACTGACTGCAAAGGAAATGTCAGGGCGAGTAACTGTAAGATAATTTAATTTTCCAACTAATCTTCTATACTGTTCAGGATCTGACATTGGCTCCCCCTGATTTGGCAAGAGTTTGGTATTAGGATCCATGGGTGTGTCAACAGGCTTTGAATTCATCAACCCAGTTTCCTCCAAAATATCCAATGCATACTTTCTTTGAGATATAACAATGCCATCGGTAGATTGTGCTACCTCAATACCCAAGAAATATCTGAGTTTGCCAAGATCTTTGGTTTGAAAATGGTGGCAAAGGTGTTGTTTCATCTGAGAGATGCCATGATGGTCACTACCTGTAAGAACAATGTCATCGACATACACTATCAAATAGATACATCCAGCATTCGAGTGACGGTAAAAGACTGAGTGGTCTGCCTCACTTCTAGTCATGCCAAATTGTTGAACAACGCTGCTAAATTTGCCAAACCAGGCCCTAGGAGACTGTTTTAGGCCATATAAAGATTTGCGAAGACGACATACCAATCCAGAAGACTCCCCCTGAGCAACAAATCCGGGAGGTTGCTCCATATAAATCTCTTCTTGCAAATCGCCATTCAAGAAAGCATTTTTGACATCCAGTTGATAAAGAGGCCATTGTTGAATAGCAGCCATGGCAATGAATAAACGAACAGAAGCCATCTTTGCCACTGGAGAGAAAGTATCACCATAATCCAACCCAAAAATTTGGGTATAGCCTTTGGCTACAAGGCGAGCTTTGAGGCGATCAATAGTACCATCAGGACCAACCTTGATAGCGAAGACCCACCTGCAACCAACAACAGATTTTCCAGATGGTAATGGGACAAGCGTCCAGGTTCCACTAGTCTGAAGAGCACCGAGTTCATCTAGCATGGCCTGACGCCAACCAGGGTGGGCTAAGGCTTCAGAGACAGATTTAGGAATAGACACAGAAGAAATAGACGAGAGACATGTATAAAATGGTGAAGAAATTCGATGATAACTAATAGCAGTATAATGTGGAGAAGGATTACGAGTAGAACGCGTACCTTTACGAAGGGCAATAGGAAGGTCAGACTCTGTGGACGGAACCGGAGGAGGCAGAGTATTTGGCACTGGGAGTGAGTCATGTGGCGTCTGTTGTGGGCGAGGTCTGCGACTATAAACCTGAAGGGGTGGTGGAGGAGGAGGGGCTAATGGTGGATGGTCCTCAACATAAGGATCAATGAGAACAGGAATGGGAACTGTAGCAGATGGAGACTCAGCAGGTAGGGAAGGGTCCTTAAAGTAAAAGGAAAACTCATTGAAGGTGACATCGGCAGACACAAAATAGCGATTAAGAGAAGGAGAAAAACACTTGTATCCTTTTTGGGATCGAGTAAATCCTAAGAAAACACATTTGTGTGATCGAGGAGATAACTTATCATGACCAGGATCAAAATTGTGGACAAAACAGGTAGACCCAAAAACCTTCAGAGGTAAAGGATGGAGAGTGTCATGAGGAAATAAAATAGAATGGGGAATTTTGTTATCTAAAACCGAAGAGGGCATACGATTAATAAGATAACAGGCAGTAAGAACAGCATCACCCCAAAAATGTTGAGGAACCGCACCATGAATTAAAAGAGTACGGGTTGTTTCAATAAGGTGTCTATTCTTGCGCTCAGCCACCCCATTTTGTTGAGGGGTATAAGCACAGGAAGTTTGATGAAGAATGCCATGAGAAGCCATAAATTGTTTAAACGAGTTTGAAAGATATTCACGGCCATTATCACTTCGAAAAGTTTGAATAGAGACACCAAATTGATTTTTAATTTCATGATAAAAGTTTTGGAATATAGAAAACACCTCAGAACGATTTTTCATTAAAAATAACCAAGTACAACGAGAGAAATCATCAATGAAAGTAACAAAATATTGAAAACCTAAATTAGACTTAACACGACTGGGTCCCCAAATGTCAGAGTGAACTAAGGCAAAGGGGGATGAAGCACGCTGGGAAACACTACGAGAAAAGGAAGTACGACTATGTTTGCCTAATTGACAGGACTCACACACCAAACTGGACAACTGGGATAAGCTGGGAACAAGTTGCTGTAATTTGCGCAGACTGGGGTGACCAAGCTGAGCATGAAGGAGAGAAGGAGACTCCATAACTGTGCCAACATGTGGAGAAGGTTGAAGATAATAAAGTCCATGTGACTCACATCCGGTGCCAATCACTTTTTGCGAGCTCCGGTCCCGTAAGGAAACAGAAGTTTTGGTAAAAGAGATAACACAATCAAGAGATCGAGTTAGACGGCTAATGGATAATAAGTTAAAGGGGGACCCGGGTACATACAAAACATTATCAATGGACAACGAGGGAAAAAGAGTAACCGTTCCAACACCATGAGCTAAAGTTGTAGACCCATTAGCCATTGTAACAGAGGGTAAATTATGAGAAGAAGTGAAAGAGGAAAATAAGGATTTGTTACCAGTGATGTGATCGGTGGCGCCTGAGTCAAGAACCCAAGAGCCAATAGAAGAAGAGTGAGTCAGACCAGCAAAAGATGTACCTGTGTGGGCAACAGAAGTAGTGGAACTGGAGGGCTTTCGATCCTCATACCATTGAAGAAAATCATTGAAGATAGCAGATTTGTCTGAAGGTACAGACGAAGGAGGATCCACAGCAGAGGATTGTGCGGAAGAATCAGTCTGAGCAACTGCAGCAGATCGGCGAGGATAACCATGTAAAGCATAACATTTGTCAATTTTGTGGCCTAGTTTGCCACAATGGTCACACTTGACACGCCCTTTGCCTGGCTTGTGAGAGCGATTACGATCATCACGGTGAGAGGCCAAGGCAGATGAATCATTAAAAACAGATTGCTCAGACCCACCGGAGCAGACAGAGGTAACTTCAGAATTGGAAGTGGCAGCGGAAGATGCCATGGAGGAAGAGAGAGAAAAACCCTAAAACACCAAAGAGGTCCGATTGGAGCAGCGAGGACAGATCCAGAGAGAGGAGAAGGAGGCGACGCCGGCGCAAAGAGCGGCGGCCTGAACGGCGGCGAGACGCGCCGCCACGCGCGGCGGAACGGGAGAAGGTGGCGCGGCTTCGGGAGGCGCGTGAGGGAGCGTGGCTGCTCCGATGACCGCGAAACTTCCACGGTGGAGGTCGCACGGAGGAGGCGAGCAAAACCCTGTGCTCGGCGGTCCGAACTGCTACTCGGCGGCGACGGCGGCGGCGGCGGCGGCGGCGGCGGGAGGCGGCGACAGCTGCAGGTTCAGTGGCAGAGCCGAAAAAAAATCCCAAGAGACCTTAAGCTCTTGATACCATGTTGAATATAGGGAAAAACTGTATAGGGTTAATTTCCCTTGTGTATTTACCACACATAGGGCAGTGTATTTATAATAAAGAAAGGTACTCCTCAAAAGAGTAACAGAATACAAATAGGGTAAATAAAAGATATTATTTGATATTGTGATTAACAATATCTAACAATATCTCAACAATATCAAATAATATCAACTAATATCTAATCATATCTAACAGATTGCATAGTCATTTAGAGGCTCTGAAACTATATCATGAACCAACTTCCCAAAAGCTTAAACTCCTAAATAAAAGCAAATGAATGGTTCTATATTACATCTCTAACATGTTTAACATTCTTGATTTTAATAATTAAACGGTTTTTTGTTGTTTTTCTCTTAATTCATTTGTCATATTAAATAATAACTGAATGCATGTCAATTATTGATATTATCTTTTCTCTTGACAGATCATCCCAACTTGGTAATTATAAGGATTTCTTCAGAACTGCAGCAGCTCAGGCATCATATCTGCAGTTCTGCATTATGATGCCTTTTATCAATGAAGTAATTACTGTAACTAGAGAATTTGTTATTCTCGTCACTTTTTATTACTTGTATATTAGGACATCCTTTTTTTGTCTAAGTTGATGCATGCCTGCTTTTATTATGCTTGTTACATTCTTGATATATCCCATATTCCAAATAAACAGGATAAATATGCCTACAGCTTAACTCTTGTCAGAGTTAACACCTTGGACAAATCTCACCATCTCAACAATTCCAAACAACTTGTGTGCACACCACATGCAAAATTGCATCAGCTATTAGTCATTGTCTGTAGGAATATTCTTTGTCCATATTGAGGGTCTTGATTACCGAAAGTACATTTCAGAATTTATCTTTCATTGTGAAGTGGGCTGTGTGCTACATAGATCTATCGATGACATTGGGCATTATAAAAACCAAAAATTACTATATCCTTCATATCGTCTGTTTGTACATAAATTGATAACTGCTTTGCTTGTTTTTATGCTAAAAGGTTCGTGCGCTGGCTTTATCTTGTATAAATTTTGGTGGATACAAACTTCATCCATATCCTCTGTTGGACCTCTCAAAATATCTGATGATAAAGGTATGAATTAATAATCATATTTAAATTTATGCCACACACCGAGAAAACATATAGGTTATATAGGTTCTTTTAACATAAGGATCTCCCTTCTAATCGTTAAACTTTTGGGATGAGCTTAGTATTTATTGGCTTAAGGCACCTGAAGGATCAACAGTAAAAGTCACCCTATGTAGCCTCCCTTTTAGTTCAATTTCTAAAAACTGAACTACGAAAAGAAAAATAGAGTGATGAATTCTCTGTCTTATCTTGAATTATGTATTAGAATTTAGTTCAAATGATTAAATTACTTCAATTTCTGAAGAAAAAAAATAGTTCAGTTAATAAATGTATAATGTAGTTAACTAAACTAAAAAATAGTTCAAGTAGCACAGTTCATCTTGCATGAACTACTTTTTAGTTCAATCAATTTTTTTTTTCTAGTGTAGTTGATTTTTTTCATATAATTTAATTCAGTTCAAAACATTGGTTTAGTTTAGTTCGATTTAGTTTTTTCACTAAGACTAAACTATGAACACCCCTGGTATTGACTCAAGTTGTAACGTTAGTTTTGTTACGTCAGTGTCTGTTGATCATTACACACATTCTGGCTATTTTCTTTAATTTGAATTTGTATGACAGGAATCAGATTTGGAATCTTTTTGCCATTCTTGTGGTCTCGAAATTTGTACAGATGAATCTGGAAATAAGTTACTTCCCACTAAGCAAACTACATTCAGGCATCCTAAAGGGGAGTTCCAAAGCTATAGTTTCGTGGGCTTGCAAGAATATGAAAAGTTATAGAGCTTGTAGATCTTGCATCTTTGGAGATTGGAACAAGCATGATCCTTGATAGCCGCACCTATTTTCATCACTTTTCCTTGGTTGTGGTGCTTAACATGGGAACAAATTGTACTATCACAACTATTTTTGCACCTTTGTGCCTGTATTGCATGTACATTTGAGTTTGTATTTGGTGTACAATAAATGTAAAACTCTTTGATGATATAAAACTCCTTGTCTGTAAATCATTACCAAATCCCGAACAGTCAGTTTTAGGAGTAAAACTTTATTCTCCCTTGCAAATCATCAGAAAGAATTACACATTGGTAGAATACTAAGGGCTGAAACATAGAAAATCCATTAAACCTGGAATTTCCTCATTAAGCTAATCTTTAGGCTAGGAAAAAAATAAAGTATCTCAACAACTATTTTCTATTTTAGTGATTTTTACTGAAAGATCATAAATATTTTTTTAGAAATCCAACACTCCCCTGAAGTTAGAATATGAATGTCTAACATACCCAACTTACGTACAAATCAAAACTATGTTTGAGAAGCCCTTTGTGCAAAGGTTTTCTATTTGTTATTTGCCGCCGCATTCAATCTTTCCTGTTTGTAAATTTTCGTATGCCATGTGTGATCAAGTTAAACAGGATTTTGAGTAATATTTATTGTAGCTTTGTTCTAATAGTACAACTTCACTCATGGATATGGATATCCATGTTAAAATTATTATTGAACGAGTTATTCAACTCATAAAAACTATTATTATACTATTTGATAAAAAATAAACATAAGGTGCAAAAATATAATGATTGTGGGATAATTTTTAAAATTAATAAAGAACAAAGTAGTCAATAAAATTAAATTTATTTTGTCACTCTGTCATAGTTACTTCTAATCATATTTCTTAAGCTTTTACTCTCTTTTTTTCACTTGTTAATCAGTCAGTTCTATAACCTCTATAATCTTATTCACTTTCCAATCGCATTTCTTAAAAATAAATAAATAAATAATAAATAAAAAAGTTCAGCTATGTTAATTATCTGCATCTTTTTGTTCACGCACTTTACCTTTTAGTGCACACTTTTGTTTATAATTATTCCTATAATCAACTTTTGATGCTAATAAAATTTCAATCATAGACACTTGATAAAGGATATAAAGGAGGATAAAAGTCCTTCTAAAAAATATACCTGTCCCCTTCTATAAACAATATTTTGTCATTTAAAAAAATCATAAATTTCTACATTCCCATCTAATTTAATGGTTTATATTTATAAATATAATTTCTCACAGCATAACAATTCAAGTGCTTCCAGTTGTTTTCTTCTTACATCATTGTGTTTTGTGTTCGACATATTCAATACAAATAAACATCCCATAAAAAAGAGACTAAATTCATCAGTTTTTCCATTTTTGCTATCATGTGAGGAGTGTTCTTATTTCTACACACATATCTTCACATTTTTCTTTTGTAGTAACCCTTTCTTTGTTAAAAGGGGTAATAAGGGGAAAAGGGTGGATCAACCAACAATCATCTTGTCAAGACTCTGCCAAACTTTAGTTTTTATCCCCTTTTCTTATGAACACATCCTTTTGCTATGTGATGAACGAAATGAATCTTTATCAAAAACATGGCTTTGTTCATTTTATCTTGTCCTTTCAAATTTTTATCGGTATAGTCAAGAAAAACCAACCTTTTTCTGACGAATAGATATGATTCATTAAATATATATCTTTTTACTTATGGTCTTATTGCAGTCTTATCAAGTTGTGTAATAAAGACAAGAGAAACTACAATTTGTCATCATAAAATACTTACTGCTTAATTATATTAAAAAATGTGAGTGTTCTTGCGGTCATTATAATTATATCTATTACTTAAATAGTAGAAGTATTTTTAACATTGAAAAAAAAAAAATATAGAGACCAACTTATATATCTAGTCAATTCAAAGTTATTAACACGAAGTAATCAGATGAAGTTACATCTGTTAAATTTTTAAAATAATTATGTAACAAAAGAGAGAATCAAAGGGAAGGAAGCATGAGACAAAACAAAAATGATTATTGTGATAAAAAAAAGAGAGTAGAAAGTAGGACAATACAATATAAATATAATTCTTATGAAATATACTAATAAAAATTGCTGATAAAAATCCTCCTTCTCCATACAATTTAAAGATTGATGAGCATTCCAATAAATGCACTCGTGGATTCAGTATCATTCAAAAGTAAGCATTACTTGTTACTCACATTGTTCTGATTTTGAGAGTTCATTCATTATTTATTTTTTTTCTAAATCCATATTTTATCCCTTGTTGGCCTATACATGCCTTATTCTTGAATCTCTTCGTATTCTTTATTCTTCTTTCACTATAATATTCCATTGAATCTTCATAGCTGTCCAACTGTTTTATCTTAGCAACTGGTTGCTCTTGGATTCTAATTATATGACATCAATTTCCATGAAAAACAGACCAAATAACAAATCCTGTTGCAGTGTATGTTTCTAAACTCTAAAGTAACATATTGAACTGAAAGTTGAGGTGGACTCAGACAAGAGTGTACGTAGATGATGTCTGAAGAACCACTGGGTATTGTGGTGATCCACTATGCATCAAGAGACTTCAATACAAATGCCATAAAAGTGGTCCTGCAGGGATTTTCACTTGGTCGTGGAGACAAGCTTACACTTCTCGTAATTCTTCGCCATGCTAATAGTCCCACTAGGATTCCCTTCATTGCACCTGCCAGATTGCGTGAGTTTCACATTCTCTGATCTTTTTCTTCTTCATGGAGAAACAATTAATGAATGTGATTTCAACCAAAACAAGTTTCTGTGGTCTTTGTGACTACATTTGTGGCCACATCAGGTGTATTTATCAGTAATTTCCTGCAACATCAAGACTCACACATAAGAAAGAGGAACTTAAAAATGATATAGGGATAATTACTGTATAGAAGTACCATGACCTTTGTCTGTGCCATACCCCTTTCATGTAAAGTGGCTATATGTGTAATAACAAAAGATGGGTTATATTGGCTACCTTATTCTGATTACTAACTTTTTTCTTCACAAATTTTAGTCTTGAGAGGTAATTATGATTATAGATATAATACTCTGATATTTCTCATAAATTTCTTATGTACTGGCTCTCTTGTCTTCAGGTGGATTATTTGAGACTGATCACAAAATTATTGAGGAAGAGATTGCCAAGAAGAGAGAAGAGCTCCTAAATAATGCAAGCATAAGGGAAATTTCTGAACAGTGTGAAGCAGACAGGGTTAGATTAACTTGTATTTAGAAGAAAATCCATGTAGCTGATAAAATCCATCATTTTATTAAATATAGATTACAGAATAGGTTCCCTGAAAATTATGTCATGGTAAATTTTGATATCACAAAGGAAATTCAGTAATAAATTCCAGTAGATATGTTATTTAATAATTGGTAGTCTAAATCTTTATAAATTGCCTGATAGAATCATTTTTATGAATGAAACTACTCAGATCCAGTTCCAGATAGAAGTTCTTCAAGGCAATTTACCAGAGATTGCTGTAAATGCTGCCTTCCGTTTGGAGGCAACATCAGTGATACTTGATAGGTTAGTCATATTCTTTCAATTTTCAATTTTCTTTATGTCAAAATCTGAGAATATGGATTAGAAAGGCCTCTTCATTTCACAATAAACAAAAATAAAACTTGGAACAAAAAGAGTTCATGATTGTATGTGAAAGTACTTATTAAGAAAAACTATCCAGCTCCTCATCATCTTGTTACTTTCAGAAGTCTATTTATACTGCTGAGACCAAAACCATAGCAATATCATCCTTAAACAACTAAAGTTTAGTTTAATTGTTTCTGTGGCATACATGTGATCATGTTTTAGTGCTTCTTACAAATTGTAAAATGTCACAAAACAAAAGCATGTGCAAACTTCCTTGCTATATGTCTGAATTGGTTGGTGTGCAGACATATGAAGAAATATAAGAAGGATTTCAAGCAGAGTCTCTCTTGTTCTTTGCTAATAATGAAACGTGACAACTCGATGAAACACTTGAGAGGGCCAAGGGAATCACATCTGTGCGATAGAAGCAATGGAAATGCAAGATGTGTTAGATGTAAGGAACTTAACCTATATAGTTTAACTTGGAATCTTCTATTTCCAAATTTTGAATTAACTGTGCTCTATTTGTAGTCACCATCTCTCACCCATATTTTAATAAAATCATGATGTAGATAGAACTTCAAAGTTACATCATCTCATAACATACATTATTCAATTCCATGACCAAAAGAGAAAGGAGTAACTTCCCTTTTTTTTTGAAATCTGCAAGACAGAAGACTCATTTATTTTGTTGAAAACTTAAACAATATTATTTCTTTGAGTGTGTTCATCATATTTCAAATCATTTAAGGAGAATTCAAGGATACCTCAAAGTTGATGCAACGGTGTGTGAAACAGGTCCAAATTCTAAATCTCCACCAAAAATACAGCAAGTGGCAAATGCAATTTTCTGCTCCAATACCAGTTCTTCATTTCCTACTATTCCAAAGGTCATGTGCCCCCAAATTTATTCTCAAATAAAACAAAACCCAGAAAATAGAGAACAAGACATGGCAAGAGGGTATTGCCTATTACCCATTACTGCTCAAAAGACTAATCACACTGAAGTGCATCACATAGAAATACCAGTGGAACATAGAAATAACCATGAAGCATATCAAATAGTTGAACAATTCAAAAATTCGGTTTGCTCAGTATGCAAGAACAGAAGACCAAAATTTGAAGTGATGAAAGAATTCACATATGCGGAGCTGTATGAAGCTACACAAGGTTTTTCGCCAAAAAACTATTTGTCAGAAGGTGGATTTGGTTCTGTCTATAAAGGAATTCTGCAAGGAGGACTAAGGATTGCTGTAAAGCAACATAAGTGTGCAAGCCACCAAGGAGAGAAGGAATTCAAATCTGAGGTCAATGCACTCAGCAGAGCTATACATGAGAATGTCGTCATGCTGCGTGGATCATGTTCAGAAGGAAATAACAGGCTTCTTGTGTACGAATTTGTTTGCAATGGCTCTCTTGACCAACATTTATCACGTAAGAGAAAATTGATTTTAGAAATAGATATTAAAACATGAAGAATGAAAATGAATAAATCTTATGATATGATTATTACAAATTGGAATACTAACCAAGATTACAATGATGCAGAACACTCACGTAAACCTCTTACTTGGCCAGAAAGGATCAAAGTAGCTATTGGAGCTGCAAAAGGCTTACTGTATTTGCATCAAAACAATATAATACACCGAGATATGAGACCTAGCAACATCCTTATTACACATGATTATGAAGCAATGGTAATAAACCATATAGCTATAAGAATAGTAAATGCATTTGAAAATATATTATTGCTTCCGCATCATTGAGTAACAGGAATGTTTTACCTATTTATCAGCTTGGAGATTTTGGTCTGGCTAGAACTGAACAAATGGACTCCTTATACTCCACAGATGTTGTTGGAACAATAGGGTATTTGGCACCAGAATATGCAGAATCAGGAAAAATGTCAACCAAGACAGATGTGTATTCTTTTGGTGTAGTTCTTCTTCAGCTAATAACTGGAATGAGGACTGTAGACAAACGTCTTGGCGATAAAAGTCTTGTGGGATGGGTAACAATCTCAGTAAAACAATACTTCTAATAAATTTTGATAGCAACTTGGAGTGTAGTGCATGACTCATGTTTATTCTGTTCTTTAGAATTTAGTTGCTATTGCTAACAAAATGTAATATGAGAATTGATGGTCTTAAATTCATGGTAAAATAAAGTTTCTCATACCATGTTACAATTTGACTTGGCATTTCCTTACATCATTCCAGTTTACAATTTCCTTTCAATTATTAACCCTCTTGCCTTCTTTCAGGCAAGGCCACTACTTAAAGATAGGAACTATCCAGATCTAATTGATGAAAGGATGATGGATAATCATGATTGCCATCAGCTTTTCTGGATGATTCGTCTAGCAGAAAAATGTCTCAGCAGGGATTCTCAGAGGCGATTATCAATGGATACAGTAAGTTTAAATCAGTGAGTTTCTCTACGGGTATGATGTTATTAGACACTCTATGGGTACTTTGAATACTCTTAGAGACATTTTATAATTCCTTTAATGATATTTTTTAAACATTTATGGAAAAATAGATCAAAATATCACAATAACTAGATGGAGTGAACTACTACGATTCTTTATCGTTTTAAAACATCAATTATCTCTTAAGATTTAAACAGAGTAAATAGTCCAAGCACTTACAAGGTAATAAATTTATACTAATGTCATGCACTGTATTCTACTCAGGCAGTGTCTTATGATCTATTTTTAAAAGAAATTCCTATCGATGTGTCCATTTGAAATCATACACTTCCTTTATTTCTATATATAAGATTAACTCACCCCAATTAAAAAAGAGATTAATTTAATTAATAAGATTTATTTTTTGAGTAATTATAACATTTTTTTCTAAACTATCCTTAAAAGACTTATTATATATGTGGTGTCCAAATAAATTTTCTCCCCCCAACCTCCACATCAATATTAAGGTGAGATTCCTTCAGGGATGCGATTCCAAAAATCTCGCTAGAATCATAGTCTATTACTACAAATTCTGCGTAATAAGGATCAAGTTGTTTAATAGATATAATTACAAAATAACAAAGTCCTCGTCCAAGGATTCTAGATCCAAAAGAGAATAATTCATTAAAAAATGGTTTAAGATTAGGTTACAACTATGTTTTTCATTTGAATACTACTAAAAAAATTAGAAGGAAACTTATTTCTTGTAATATTTTTATAAAAAATCTGTAAAATTATTCCCTTGAAGTATAAGAATTTCTAATAGTAATAACTAATCAAAGTAAGACGACATTTTTAAATGGAAAGAGAATAATAAACAATAGGGGGTTTTTATTTGAAGTTAACTTCTTCAATTTTTCAATCTTGGTTGGAGAGGGTGAAGAGAGAATTCATAATATTTATGAACCAAAATAATTAAGGCTTTTTTTGATAAAAAGAAAAGTAATTAATGTAAGGTACAAATAGAAAAATATCTTACAGAAAGGAAAAGGAAAATTTTAAAATAGTCTTATAATTTGTGTTTGCAGGTGGTCATTGCCTTAACTCATATACTGGAAGGCAACACATGCAGTGTTGTACTGAGAGACTGCTCTCCAGCACGGTCAGATTCATCTTATGACATGTCAGATATCTCTCAGGAGAGTGAAGGTGAAGATGCAAGCATCTATGGAGAATATGCTCCTATATGCTTAAGACCTCCACCTTCTCCTCCATTAGGAAGCACTTCATCAAGTACATCAAGCATGTTCACAGGGCTGAGCGAATCTCCTTCTGATGACTTGTCCAATAATGAGAATAAGGGTAAAGGTATTCTAAACCATTATGGTCTTGTTTGATTTGTTCATGTGATAATAAGATAGACTATTCATTGTATAAGTAAAAATGAAACAGAGATCATAGTCTTCTTTCTCTATAAATGTTGTCTTGTTGCTTCATTCCATAAAAGAAATTTTGTTTCCTACACTGAAATAAAATGTGTATCAAGAGAAATGGTGCTGAATTTGAACTTTGATTCTTTAATTGGAACACTTCTTTTCTTATTTTTCAAGGGAATTAAGTTATTTTAGCAGAGTTACATTGTTTAATAACTTTTTATATGTAAAGAGAAGAGACATATCATGTGAGAAAAAAAGTTTATTTTGAGAGATAAAAAGGTTTAATAATAATTGTTATATATAAATCTTAGGTTCAGATAAAATGCTTCATCAAAAATACGCACGTGACCCTCTCACATCCTTTCAGTTCTCTTTCAATTATGGTACATGACAAAATCACGACTTCTTCTCAACTAAGAGTCACAATGTTTGTATGTGGTGAGGAAGTTAAAATGACGTACATTGGTTGTGGAAATGAAGTTATAAGGTCACAGACATTGACCGTGCAGTAAAGATAGTCATATTTAGAAGCTTATCTGCATCGAATTGAATACCAAGGAAAAAGAAAAAGAATTTGGATAATACGTTCCGGGGATTTATTTGCTGATAAGTTGCTTCAAATTTCATTTTAGTGAAGAAAACAATGATGTTAATAAATGAAAGAATTTTAATTTAATAAGTTCAGAAATTCTTAAAAGATTATCTCATCTAAGTAGTAATGCAGGTGAATTGATTATCGAGTCTGTCATAGTACTCTTCCTCAACATGAATTTCATTCAGAGCTTCATTAACAGCAGACGCATTGTTGCTTTGAACTGCAATATTATAACAAGATGAAATTGAATCAGTAGGATATGAAAATTATAAACCTTCCACGTTTATACATTGAAGAGTAATCACAATTAACATATCATTTATATATTGTTCTCAACTCTGCTTAATATTCCAAAGCTTATTGGGCCATGTGATGAACAGAAGCAATGGAAAGAACTTACTTACCTATACATATATGATGAGTTTGGTAATACTGCAACCACTGTAATGCATCACTCTCCGGAAGCATGGAACCACATTCAATTCATATGTTTGTGCCAAAACCTTTTTCTACAATCCAACCACACAGATGGAGAGAACAATTTGAATGTCCAATAATTTGAAATTGACAATCACTTTCTCTAGATATCCACAACACCATAAATCCCGCCAACAGACTACAGTCATCAAAGAAACAATGCCAGAAGCTTCCCCACTTCACCGCCTTAACAATTATCCAAGTTTTCTAAACATAACAATTGGATTTTGACTTAAAAATGTAATATTGATACCAAAAATACTTGCATGTAAAACAGAATATATTGAAAACGTGAAGAAAATGGTTTAATTAGAGAGTGAAATATTGGAACTAAAAAACGATTGTATTTTTCAGAGATAGTGTGAAAATTGGCACCTGATGAAAATGCAGACATATATGAGAATTGGTTCATTAGTAATTTTCAACTTGTGTTGTGGTTCATCTTATATGTTCACTCGTTCATGATCAATCCATATGTTTTTAATGTCAGCAATCTTTTCCCAGTCTTCACCTTGTTTCTTGCAGCTCTGCTTGAGCAACGGGCAGTTTATAATTTGGAGAGTTGAAATGGATTCGGGCAGACCCTCCTCTGGCAAGCATTGGAGTATAGGACACTTACGAAGAAACAACTCCTCAACAGAGGAGAGCTTAGAGAGACCATTGTAGTCCAGCTTTTTAAGATTTGGACAATCATATATTGTTAGAGTAGTAAGAGAGAGTGGGAGCAAACCTTCACCCGGAAAAGACTCCACATCCTCTTCTGAAATAAACAACCTTTCTAGGGAGGGGTTGGCTCCCCAAGCCTCTTTCAGTGAGGCAACAGGTTTGGAGCAATTCGAGAGTTTCACTTATTTTAGATTTGATGGCAAACATCCATCAGAGAACTCCACTCCTGGACAATCGGTTATCCACATATTAGTAAGAGATGGAAGGAGTTCAGGCTTGTGTTCTGGCAATGATTTTAAAATCTCCAAATTTGCAATATAAAAGTTCTCTAACTGCGGTGCAGATAACCCTTCACTGGGAAATGATTCAAATTGAGAGCAAGTTTGAATGGTCAAATTCCTCAAATGATTATGAGGGTACCCCTGTGATATCTTCTGTAGGTTAGGACACCCGCATAGAGTAAGTACGCAGGGTTTTGGAAAGAAATCTAGAGTAAAGTTCGTCAGGGAATTACAACCACCATAGATATACAAGTTTATAATGAAGTCGTAGCAATGGTTTAGGGGAAGATTCATGTTCGGACATAAACGAATACTCACGAATTAAAGAGGATTATGAGATATGATATGCCCAAGCCTTTCAAGCAACGATGCCTCCATGTTCTCACCCTCAATCTCGAGCCTTTTCAAAGTAGTTGAATGATGATCGATTTGAAGCTTTCCACAGGCTCGCAGGTGTAATTCACAAATTTCGGGGGTCCTGGGAGCAAGAGTCGTAAGTTGTTTGCAGTCCTCAACAAGTAGCTCCTTTAAATGAGAAAGTTGCTCTGGCAAGTGCCTTTCAGCTTGGGACATCTCTTCACAGCAAGACTTTGAAGATTTGGGAAAGCTCCTGTCATGCATTGCCATTCTTCCCATTCCTTCATATTAGAGAATTCCAACATTTCCAAGGATGCAAACGAAGAAGAGCTATTCCCGTAAAAATCAGCATCAATCCTCGCCATACAATCAAGTCCCATAATTTCCAGGTGCTTAAGAAATATCAAAAGTCCAAGGGAAGGCAACCATAGGCAATGTTTACAGTTCTTCAAGGTTAAGGACACCACATTCGATAATGAATTATCTGATAACCAAAGAGGAAATTGTGTGCCACCATACTCGTTGATTGACAACTGCTTCAAATGTTTGGAAGGTTGCAGATTCTCAAGTACGTCTCTTTCTTTCATTGAATTATCAAGGCTCCTCTTCGAATCCCATTGTAAATTTAGCTGTACCAGAAGTGCTTTATTCTTCAAATCTGCTGCCAAAGCATCCAAGGGATTTACAGTATTTTGCAGATCCTTAATTAAAATCTCCCCATGAAGACTGAGTTCTCCTAACTGTTGGATATGTAACTCGCTACTTATGCCAACATTGAACGGAGTCATCAATATTTGAAGATTCATCATTTTTCCCATATATATTGGCACCTTTGTCAAACTATTTCCCGTAAGTTCAAGATGATGCAAATTGGTGAGTTTATGCAAATCCGAGGGCATCTCCTTCAAATTCAAACAATAGTTCAGCCTCAATGTTTCTAAGTTATACAGTGAACATCTTGAGTGAGGCAGATTTTTAATGGCAGTCCTTGAAAGGTTTAAAGACCGAAGATGTATAAGATCACCTATAGTGTCAGGTACCTCTGTAAGTCTAAGACAACCAGAAAAAGATAAAATGCGTAAGAACTTCAACTTCGATATCATTATCGAAGACTCACAATACCAATATGGAAAAACATAGCTTATTCCAAGTATGGGAACAAATGTTCGTAGCCTTCTTGTATTATATAAACTCTCATGTCTACAATAATATTCATTATGATCAATTACAATAATATTCATGTATACTCTGTGCTTCATCAATTTCCTATCTGAAACAGATGTGACCAGAAACATATTTGGCCAAATCATTAAGAAGGTCATTCATGATGTTAATGTTCCAACATAAAACCAATTGGCAATATGTGGAATAGTCTATCATGTATATAAACCATACCAACTGATATGAGGTAGGTGATGTGGGACTTTCAACACACCCCCTCCAACGAAGCCTGCCGGACTAGGCAAAGGGTCCTTTTAACCCAACTAAAGGGCAACTTTTGGCCCATGACAATAACCGGAAAGATGTTAGGCTTTGGCTCTGATACCATGTTAAGGTTCCAACATAAAATCAATTGACAATATGTGGAATAGCCTAACATGTATTTAAACCGGTATGAGGTAGGTGATGTGGGACTTTCAACACATCACAAAACATGATTTCAAGCTTTAGCTGGATTTTTGAAAGAAGGACCTAGACGATTCGTAGCCTCTGCTGGGTCGTTGAAAGAAGGACCTTGATAATAGATCATTAAAGTACTGTCCATCAACTTCTTCTGGAGACTTACTCTGTTGAAAGCATTGTAGAAAATTTTCAGCTATCCACTACTGAATTAAATTCTCCTTGTCAAACTTATGATCTTTAGGAAATATGGCACAGTAAGAGAAACATCTCTTGAGATGAGAAGGAAGATGGTAATAGCTCAACAATAAAGCAGGGATGATTTTACTATCTTCTTCAGGGAACTCCCATATCTCGCTTCTCAATATACTTTTCCATTCTGAAACAGATGACTTGGAGCGCAAAAGAGATCCAACTGTTTCCAAGGCTAGAGGCAATCCTTTGCACTTCTCAACTATCTTTGTTCCAATCTCCTTCAGCTCAGCACTCATCTGCGGATTGTCATCTTGGAATGCATGTTTAGCAAAAACTTGCCAGCTGTGATCTCCACCTAATTGCTTCAGTTCATGTTCTTCACTCGATTGCACGATCGAAGCAACTTTCATACTGCGTGTGGTAACCAGAATTTTACTTCCCTTAGCCCCATAATTGAGAGGAGTTTGGAAAGTTTTCCATTTCTGTCGGCCTTCGTTCCAGACATCGTCCAGAACGACAAGAAATTTCCTCCCAATCAGTTTTTCTTTCAATCTTCCTTGAACCATTTGTAGGTCTTCACTATCATCTTTTGATTTAGTGATTTCCCCAATAATTGCTTTTGTTACTGTCAAAACATCAAATTCATCTGAAACACACACCCAGGCTTTGATGTCAAAATTACCCTCCTCGATTCTGTCACACTTTGGTACCCAACCCTATCCCAACTCTATCGGCACTTTTCAAACCTAGATCATCCTTTTGGTTTATAAGAGATTCTTGGTCATCAAGACTTCTATAATCCTAGATTTTAAACTGTTGGTAAGAGTACATATAAGCAATATGCACATAAAATTTAATGTTGGCAACAAGAATGCACGAAATAGAAGTTGGCAGTAATTTTTTTTTTTTTTTTTTAATGTGGACAAAATGTTTGTCTCTCCTAAAAGTAAATCATGATACATATTAAATAGGTTTCCAACCCATATTTTTTGGTGATGTCATTCATACCTAAAACCATTAATATTATTCTAGAAATATCAAACGACTAATTTAAGTTTTACAACAAATCTCCCCTTAAACTTAATACTCTTTCCACCTCTTATTCTAATAAGCTTTTTACAACTCTCCAGCAGTGTGGTTGACAGTGGCTTGGTGAATACATCTGTGGCTTGAACTCGGCTTTCAACATGCTCCAGCTCAACCTTTTCTTCTCTGACTTGTTCTCGGATAAAATAAAATCGGACGTCGATGTGCTTGCTCCTTCCGTGATTAACCGGGTTCTTTGTCAACTCGATCGCTGACTTGTTATCAACTTGGATTACAGTCCATTTGTCTCATATCACTCCCAGATGCCTTAGTAGATTTGAAAGTCAGACTGCATGACACACGCTCCAAGAGGCCGCCACATACCCCGCCTTACAGGTCAACAGAGTTACAATGGGCTGCTTCTTTGACAACCAAGTAAAAATTGTTTTCCCAAGTAGGAATACACAACCCGAAGTACTTTTCCAGTCATCAATATCATCACACCAATCACTATCCGAGTAACCCACTAGTCGGTAGTCATTCAATTTTGAATAGAAAAAACCAAGTGATAGGATTCCTCGAACATATCTTAAAATTCTCTTCAAGGCCTTCCAATGTGTGTAGCTTGGATTCTCCACATACTGCTCGTTATCCCAACACTTAACATTAGGTCGGGTCTCTTGCTTGTAAGGTACCTTAAACTTCCGATTAAGCTTCAATATCTCCCAGAATCAACTTGTTCTCCTCCATCAAACTTTGAGAGTTTAATGTCTAGTTCCATTGGAGTAGAAACCGGGTTGCAGTCCTCCATTTTAAACTTCTTTAAAATTTCAAGCGCGTACCTCTCTTGGGATATAAAAATTCCTTCCTCCGACTGCTTCACTTCTAGGCCAAGAAAATATTTCATCAGACCTAAGTCTGTCATTTTGAACTCTTTCTTCATTATTTCCTTGAACTCCTTAATCAGCTTCATGTTGCTTCTGGTGAATATGAGATCGTCGACATAGAGGGCGACTACTATCATGTTCTTTTCTGATTTCTTTGTGTACAAGGCATGCTCGTATGAACATTGCTCGTACCCATTTTTCTTGAGATACCCATCAATTCTCTCATTCTAGGCACGAGGAGCCTGCTTCAGCCCGTAGAGGGCTTTTCTCAATCTCAACACCTTCTTCTCATCCCCTCTCTTCATGTACCCGAGTGGTTGCTCGACGTATATCTCCTCATTCAGCACTCCATTTAGAAAGGCCGACTTCACATCCATCTGTAGAATTAGCCATTGGTCTGAGCAACTAATGAGATAAGAAGTCGGATTGACTCCATTCTCGTGACAGGAGCAAATACTTCATCATAGTCGATGCCCTCCTTTTGTCTATAGCCCTTCACCACAAGTCGAGCCTTGTAACATTCAACCTCTCCCTCAACATTCATCTTCTTTTTGTACACCCATTTTACTCCAATGGGTCGAGCTCCTTCAGGAAGGTCGGTCAGTTCCCAAGTTTGTTGCGTTCAATCGTCCCAATCTCCTCATCCATGATTGTTCTCCACTTCTCATCTTAGACATCTTTCTCAAAACTTAAGTCTTCAAAGTCGGCCAGAAGACATACAACATGAACTTCATTTGTAGTGTTGTATATATTTCATGCAAACTTCTCATCCTGGGTTCTTATGGCTCGGTTTCTTCATCTGAGGACTCAGTGGTTGTTGTTGTTGAAGGCACAACAATTTTCGAGCTAGTTTCTTCTTCAGCCAGGTTACTCTAGCACCATTGCTTTGTTTCTTCCACGTGAACATCTCGGCTTACCATCACTTTATTGTTAACAGGATCAAACAATTTATACGCTTTATATTTTTCATCATACCCGATAAATATGTACTTCTTACTTCGATCTTCTAATTTAGTCCTGTGTTAACTTGGTACTTGCCCATAGGCCATGCAACCGAACACCTTAAGATGAGAGACACTCAGCTTCATACCACTTCAGATCTCCTGAGGTGTCTTCTTGCCTAGCTTTGCATGTGGACATCTATTTTGCAAATAGACTGCACACAACACCGCCTCTACCCAAAACTTCTTCGACATGTTCTTCCCTTTCAACATAGATCGAACCATATCAAGAATGGTTCGGTTCTTTTGTTCCGCTATACCGTTTTGTTGCGGAGAATATGGGGCAGTCAAGAAATGTTTGATCCTATGTTTCTCATAATATTTGTTGAACTCAGCAGAAGTGAACTTGCCTCCTCTGTCAGATCGGATTGCTTTGATGACTTTGCTTATTTCTTTCTCCACCATCACTTTGAATTTCTTGAAAGTTTCAAACACTTCTAACTTCTCTTTCGGAAAATAAACCAACCTTTTCCTCAAGAAATCATCAATGAAAGAGATAAAGTATCTCTTACCACTGAAAGATTCTGGAGTTATTGGCCCACACAAATCAGTATGGATCAATCTGAGTTGCTCCTTTGCTCGATACTCATAACTCCTTGGGAAAGAAGTCCTCACTTGCTTCTCGATCACATATTCTTCACAGAACTTTTTTTCAAATTCCATTTTAGGCAGTTCAAGCACCATCTCCTTTTTCACCTGCTCAGTCATCCCACCGAAGTGAAGATGACCGAACCGAAAATGCCACTTCATGGCCTTTTCCTCCACATCAAGTTGCATGCATTTATCTTGAACTATTTTCATATCAAGTTTGTACATGCAATTTTTCTTTATTTCTACCTGAGCAATGAGCCTCCCGAGTTTATCCTTCAGTTGTAGTTCTCGGTCCTTCATCAGAACCGAGTACCCCTTCTCCCTTAACTGTCTCATGCTTAGTATGTTACTTTTGAGATCAGGTACGTAGTATATATCTCTGATCTCTCTGATTTGTTATTTTCTCTGTTGATACCAGATCGTTCCTCGACCTTTGACAGCTACTTTAGAAGCATCGCCAAAAGAAACGGATCCGAACTCCACCTTTGAAAGAATTTTGAATAAGCACTCTTCACCACACATGTGGTTACTTGAGTCGGTGTCCAAATACCAAACCGAGTTATTAAAACAGCTCGGTTTGACCTCAGTTTCTGGAATTTTTATCACCATCAACAATCATTCATCGGTTCCTCCTTTTTCTTCTCGGACCCACAATCTTTAGAAATATGACCTAGCTTTCCACAGTTGTATCATTTTACCAAGTAACAATCCTTGGCAACATGCTCATTCTTCCCACAGTTATAGCATTCAATATTGTTTGTGTTTGTCCGGCCATCCCGAGCCTGACCTCCGTCACACCAGTTCTATTGGCCGACTTGGTCATTTCCTCGTCCTCCTTTTCCTCGACCACCTTGGCCTCTGCCTTTTCCTCAGCCTCTAATACTCTGAGCATAGAGCACCTTCTCCCCTTTTATTGTCGTCTTCGCCTTGAGAGCCTGTTCAAGGGACTCCCCCTTCTTGTTTTTCCTTCTTTGCTCATGTGCTTCCAGGAACCAGCAAACTCTTCAAGGGTGAGCGTTGATAGATCCTTGGACTCCTCTATTGTGCACACAATATTCTCGAAAACATCTGTCAATGACCTCAAAATCTTTTCAACAACTCGATTTGATGAAAGACTCTTACCATTTCGGTTCAGCTTGTTCACCACGGTCTCCACCCGAGTAATGAACTCGGATATGCTTTCAGACTCTTTCATCCTTATGTTTTCCAGTTCGCCCCTAAGGGTTTGAAGTCGAACTTGTTTCACCCGTTCCTTTCCTTTTGTTTGTTTTTTCAAGTGTATCCCATGCTACTTTGAAAGATTTTGTGTTGACTATCTTCTCAAAGCCGGATTTGTCGACGGCTCAGTATAGCAGATACAGAGCCACCTTGTCTTTAGCTCGAACGGCCTTCAACGCGCTCAGCTGGGCATTTGAATACCCATTTGTGTTCATCGGTTCCTCATATCCAGTCTCGACCACATCCCAATTATCTTGGGAGTCGAGAAGGACTTTCATTTGTACCTTCTAGTTGTTATAGTTGGCGTCTTTCGTCAACTTGGGTAGCGGAATGTTATTGATTAGACCTGTCATTTCTCTCAAGTGTTTGCACTCAACTCACACACCTCACATAGCTCTCGGTCGCTCCCCTCTCTTTCTCAGCCAACGCACACCGCGGCGTTCTCTCTTGAGGCTTGATAGGTTCTCTCACGCTCACCTCACACACAAGCTCTGATATCAATTTGTTGGTAAGAATACATATATGCATAGAAAATTATAAATTAAATAATGTTGACAACAACAAGGCAGAAAATAGAAATTGGCAACACTCTGTTTTCTTTAAATCTCTTAATGTTTCTCCTACTACGATTTCAAATGAGTTGGTACAAGTATTTATGGACCAAATATTTGTCTCTTCAAATACCAAAAGTAAATCATGATACCTATTAAATAGGCTTACAATCCATATTTCTTTATTATACCACTAATGCCTAAAACTATTAATACTATTATAAGAATACTAAACAACTAATTTAAGTTTTACAACAAAAACTGCATACCTTGCTAGACCTATTCTGATGGGATTCAGCTTCCAACTCACACCTGGAGAATTCGAGTCTATTTCATCAAGCAGATCCTCAGTGTCAAGCAACACGTCTCTGACCTCATGAAGCCATGCTCTCACGCATGCATTTCTGAACTGCTTTTGTTCTGCATCATCAACCACAGCCTTGATGGACACCAGCTTCCTCTTCAACTTTCTCAGCAGCTTCTCATCCAGCTTTCTTCCACAAAAGTAGTCGAGAACTTGGCGGGAATCCACCCTGTCAAATAGCATCTGAAGGACAGCACTGAAAAGAGCACCACCAAGTGTTTCACTGACTGGCATGGTTGGAAAGAAAGAGGTCAAATGAAAGAGCAGATAGGATTTTTAAAATTTAGAAGTGCAGATTAATTCTGTGAATGAATAATTAAGCGTGAATGCAGATAGAAAAGAAAGAGTTAACACTAACAAAAGGTAATGAGTGAGTATTTTGTTAGAGATGGCTTTTCCTCAATCCGAGATTTCATGGCCAAACAATAACTGGTCATTGTTCCCGGCAGAACAATGTGGTGGGTAGTTGTAATAACTACTCCCTCTTTATTAAATTGAAATATAAGAAGTTTGGATAGAAAAAAATTATTTTTAAATAGATGATATTTGAAAATATTAAAATTATATTAATTATTCTTTTTATTAATTATATTTTTACTTTTTAATTATATTTATTAGAGAGAAGAGGATATAAAATACTTCAAAAATATTTTTGTTGAAAAAATAATATTAAGATGGTATGAATGTTAATGGAAAAAATTAATAAATTTATTATAAATGATAAAAATTAATACTTATATTAATTTATGGAATCAAATCTTAAATATTATATATTTTAAAATAAAAGAGAATAATCAATAAATAAACACGTGGCATACATCTTACATTATTGTCTAGTCATAATAAATTCTTACGCACAATGAAAAGATTAATTTTGAAAATTATTTTGAAAATCAAATCTAGGGTGATTATTAACATGATGAAATTGTGCACATTAGTTTAATGGTCTTGCAGTGACAGTATAAGGTCATTGTATACTATTTTAACTGTTACACTGAGTCAAAAACTATAATAAACTTATTGCAACTTTTTGAGTGGAAGCACCAACCCTTACATTGGTGCAACACAAAGCTTATTTGGGCATGTGATGAACAGAAGCAATGGAAAGAACTTACTGACCCTTTTAATGCATGTTTTTAATCTTCATCGGGAAAAGACTCCATATCCACTTCTGAAATAAACAAGCTTTCTAGGGAGGGGTTGTCTCCCAAAGCCCCTTTCAGTGAGGCAACAAGTTTGGAGCAATACGAGAGACTCGTATATTTTAGATTTGATGGCAAACCTTGCGTACTACTACTAATCATGCTTCCGGCGTAGCAGATCCATGAACTACAGAAACAAAAGGTGGTGGTGGTGATGTTCAAATGACTTACAGGAGAAACAAGAGTATAGATCCAAAGTACGTTTATGAGTAATCGTCAGTGATGCACTGTGTGTTCTATGTTCTATGCTTTACACCATTTCTTCTCTATTCAATTTTTCTATTTTTCTATGTACTTACTGATGCGGGAAAAGAAGATCGGGGATGCGTGGACGATGACATGGAAAAAGATATTGGTGTGTAGGCATCCAGGTACGACGAACACGGAATATTTCATCCAAGTAAACAGTTTGCCCATAGAAATTTAATTCCAGAGTTTAAACTATTTTTTTTCGAAGAGGAACATAGTTATGTTGTTGGCTAGGTAACAAATAAGTTCTCTTCTAGCATGCGGGGTCAGCTAAACGAATAAGGAATTTTTTTTAAAGGATAAAGCCCACATACCAAAATTTATTCCTGTAGCCATTTTAAAAACTTTCCATGTTAGCCATGCTCCAAAACAAAAATGAAACTTGAGAAATTTAGAGATATATTAATATTTTTTGGGCTAATAATAGTCAGATAAATGATAAAATATCAGTTCAAACAAAAAACATGAGCAAAAAAAATTAAGACATTCTTAATCCATCCAGCTACTTGCATTCCAATGTTTCAACTGCAACAATTTTAATCAGTGTCTCCAAAAGCATTCGAGTACACAACATCCATGATGGCATACAATACATGCAACACCCAAAAAGAATTGACACACAAGAAAGCACGAGTCTATGACCCTTTTGTTGGGACTATAAATCACATTCAATCTTCTTCAGCCCAGCAAATATTGACATTGGACAACCATGTTAAAAGAATCAACACAAATCTACTCATAATCGAGTTTCAAATCACACATCTCAGAAGTTTTCTTAACCAAGATCGGACAGCTGACAGAGACCATGCACATTGTTAGCTGCCGTTGCACAAGAACCAAAACCCCACATCTGACTTGACTGAGAAGTGCCAGCAGTCATATGCTTCTGGTCAGTGGAAAAATCGTCTCCAAGAAGGGTCATTGCAGTATCAGCTGTGATGGCTTGGTTCTTGCCATGCCCAGAACCTAGGTCAGGCCAATCTGAAGCAAGCAAGAAGTCTGAACCAGCAATATTCAACAGGGACAAGGTTTGATTTTCACTCTCAGGAGTCCAAACCTGATCAACAAACTCTAATTTTGGAATATTGCCTGCAAATGAATTAAGGAATTAAGGAGAAAACCTAACAAATGCCTTTCAATTAAAACTGATAAATTAATCCATAGTAATCTACAGACTCTATCATATAAAATAAGTATTTATAAAATAAGTATTTAACAAGTATTTAAGGACCCATAAAGTAACATGAAATCTTCAAAGTAATCAAGAAATTTCAGATTAAGCCAAAGAAGTATGTAAACATGTATAAAATGTGAAATGTTTCAATAATCGTCATCCATACTGCACATTGAAAACTACTAACCAGTAAATGTCAGAACGGGTAGCTGTTCATCCAACGAATTCTCGTTGGCTCTAAGAGCAGGGCACTCATTCAATATTGAAGTCGCACCAAAGGGAGATACAGGGTCAACATAATCTTCCCATTCTGTCTCGTACACATTTAAAGCAGAGCTGTCGGCTCTGTCACCAGGGGTTGCTGTAGAAGAATTTGAACTTTTGTCAGAACAATGGTTCTTTGAACTGCTCAGAGTCTTTGCCTGATAAAGTAAGGCATCCAGCAGGCCACTATTTTGCGGTGAAGAACAATCTGACTCTAGTGTACTAATTGGTGTAGGAGACTGAAAGAAGTCATCAACTGACTCGAGCAAAGAAGGTGGGGGAGATGTACCCCAGCTACCTAAATCAAGTTCTGGATATTGGAGTGAAGGGAGCTCCAACTTCACAGCCTCATAAGTGGGCTTAGAAGTAGAGGAATTGCCATTTGACAGTGAATGGCTGTAACACATTGAGCTGTGTGATGAGGGAGCAGGATCAAGGGGTGCTTGCATTGCAAATGATTGTGCAATCTTATCAGAATTATTGTCCCGAAATTGACCAAATGGATATAAACCAGTTTTTTTCGTATCACTGGAATCAATAAATGGTATTGTTGACTCTCTAAGACGCTTATGCTTAGGTGATGTTGGTGGCCTAAAACTACAATATTGAGAAGAATCAAGACCTTTTAGCATATTGTCATAAACAGAAACGTCAGAAAACTCGGGCACATAAGGTAATATTCCCTGATTATCCTTCAGGCTGTCAAATATAGCAACACGTGTCTCATAACTATTTTTCTGCAATAAATCAGGATGCATTTTATTGCCACCATTAAGTCCACCATTGTTTTGGCTACGCTGACTCTCTTGAAAACCTTGCAAACACACTTCTGGGGGATAAAGTGGCAACCCAGCCCTTTGACGCCTCTTGATCCGGGTGTTCCAGTAATTCTTTATCTCATTATCGGTACGACCAGGCAACTACAAACAAAAGTATTAACCATTTATAAGGAAAAAAGGCAGCTAATATTGAGAAGAAATAATTGTAGACGAAACTGATTATTTACTAATGAATTATGGTAAGTTTCTTGAATAGTTTAAACTCATCAATAATGAAAGGCATAGGAATTAAGAAAAAACAAAAACCATGAGTTTCTTTGCAATTAATTCAATCCCAAAAATGATAGAGTTACACACATCAGTTCACACTGATTAGCATAGATGATGAAATTCACACTTATCTATTACCAACAGAAGAAGCTTTATTATTATAATTGTCATTTCCCTGATTTGGCAAAGATAATGTTAGAGTATTTTTTTTTTTCCTTGTCAAGGGGCACAAACCCACAACATCCAAAAGAATGTGACTCGGGCAACCTTCTAACTCTTACAATGATCAATTAGCATGATGTATTCTATTACGTACTATAATTTCCAATTGAAGTTGTAGATATGATAGAATTATAAATCACTTACAAACACAGAAAATTAAGAACTGCATTGAAATAAATGCATCTGTTGGGTACAGCATCCCATGTTACCACAATAATGGTTATTTAACTTCCTAAACCAGTGCCATGATATCCAGAAAAAACATACAAAGACATTGTAAAACTTTATATTGCGTAAAAGTTGACGTACAAACATATTAAACCGTTAGAATAAGTGCTGTTATAAAATGGGAATCTAAAGACATGTAAACTGTATTCTACCACATTGGTTAGAGTAGATCTCTACCTCATCTTATACAACACATAACAGCAGTGACATCACTAGGAATGAATAGAATTCATAGATTTCAAGAAAACCTTAAGAAAGCGATAAAAAAAATTATAACTACATAAGCAAGGCATAGAAAAATTATATAGAAAATGCTTACATGTGCTGCCATGCGTGCCCATTTGTTTCCCATTTTGGCATGAAGTTCAGCAATGAACCGCTCCTCTTCTGCAGTAAACGCCCCTTTCTTTAAATTCGGCCTTAGGTGATTAGCCCATCGCAGCCGACAACTTTTTCCGCAACGTAATAGCCCTGTGTGCTTCTGAACAGCATTCCAGTTCCCCTCCCCATGCTTGTTGACATAATCCACCAAAATATCATCTTCAGTTGATGTCCACGGCCCTTTCTTCAGAACAACGCCGGCACTTCCTTCATAACTCTCATCAGTCAACTGTGCCGCACTCAGATCATTGGGAAGCACCTCATCTTCAATTTCATTGCCACTCACTCGTCTCATCTTATTTTATATACTTCCTGCCCATATATTTCAAACCACAAAGGAAATCCTTAAAATTTACAGAAGTGAAAAAGGGTAAAATCAAGAAGTGTCCTAAATTTGCTTTCAGTTTTACATCCATTCAATTTAATTTTATTCCTTTATTTTCGGACATTTCTATTGCAGAGGGGAAGAGCTGGAAACCCCATCAATATAACACGAGCCCAATGACATTAAAAGATCCACACGACACAGAAAACAAGAAATGTCCTTTATGATGAAGACAATTTGAAAGCTAAAAAGGAATTACCACAGTAAATAATTTGAAATGAAAATACTCGTAAGCATAATTTATATCACGTAAATTAGTAAAAGCGTAAATATCCAATAGCAAAATTTCTACTGCAAAACCTGACTCCGAGTATTTAATGATGCTCTCCACTGCAACGCAAATTTTCCAGACCAAAAAAAAAACAAACAACCCATCACAATAAGTATGATACTAATCATGCATACCCATAATACACAATCAGGAATCAAATATATAGAAAAAAAACTACCACTTATCACACGATTATTGTACACGAAAAATCGCAGCACAATTTCCATCCTTCAAAACCCACAAAGACCAAGCATACACACTTATCACGGAACTCATTCTTCCCACCAACCCAACACCCCACATCCGTTCACCACACTACAGTACAAATTTATCACAACATTAATTAACGATCCAAGCAAAGAGTAAATGCATTTAATACCCCCGCTACTTATTAAGCCCAAAGTTTTAAGTATTAGCTAATTAAATAATAACCCAAGCTAAGAAAAAAAAATACTCATTTAATACTTCGCTAATTATTAACAAAAGGTTTTAAAAAAGATCTGCGATTCTGACCCATTATTACAATATTTTTACTAACCCAAAGACGAAAATCAAAATTAAGCAGAAAATAAATTTAATATACTTTTGTTATCCATTATGAACTTCGATTCTGTCTTTCAAAAAATTTGGGGGTTTCTGATTGTGACAGTAGTCGTCCATAATTCTTTACTTTATCAAAGAACGTGCGACTTCAATTTAAAAACATTGATTTAGACGATTTAAAATTCTTTTGATTTTAACGTGAAATTTTAACAGATCGGAAATACCCACCAAACAAAATAAAGGGTAGCAAGAAAACAAAACAAGAAGGGGAAAAAACTGAAAAACAAAAAATTAAACGCTTCGAGACGATACCTGAATAGGACGCGACGCGACGCGATGCTAGAATCCAAAAACGCTCGTTTTGCTCGCGGCGAATCGGAGCGCCAATTGAGCTCAGAAGCTGAATGGAACAGTGAAAACCCTGTCCCCATAATCAAAACAAAGAAACAAAAAATTAATTCCAATTTCCATCACGCTCTTACCGAAAGCGAGGAAGGTCACAAAACGGTGTTCGTGTTTGGGTGTTTAAAGTTTGGGGGGTGAAAATTTCCATGAGAGACTAACCTCGGGATCGGAGCGAGGGGTAAAATCGTAAAATCGAGAATCGGAGGTATGATTGGATTTAGGGAAAGCGAGGCGTCAATTGGGAGAAAGAAGGTAGGAAAATGGAAAGTGAAGATCAGAGCGACAGTCGCATTGGGATGTGTGAAGAGAGAGAAAGTGTGATGGGGAGTGAAGAGAGGAAGTAGGAGAGAGAAAGGAGGGAAAGGAAACGGAAGTAGCACCCACACACTACTCCACCTTTCACTTCTTCAATTTCAATGTTTCTAAAATCAATGTTATGTGTGTGCATGTGTGTCTTGTGTACTCTTCATTATCGACTTATTTCTTGCATTCATTTATAAAAATGGTGCTTTTATTGTTTATTAATTTATTAATTTGCACATAAATAATGAGAGATGATTTTAATTAATGTGCCGCAACGAATCTATTTTCTTATGACCATGTTTTGTGTGTTGTGTTTTTTAGAAGGAATGATCTTGAAGAATAATTTTAAATTCTCCTCTTACTAATCATTATACTTCTCCTCCCACGTAACTAGTATATTAAAATTAAAAAAAAAATATTGTAATCGCTAACGTAGTTAACAGAATTAAAGTCATCGAAAATTTATGCTTTCCAAAGGGTTTTCCTAAATCTAGGGTTGATTTGAATTAGTAGTTTGACTATGTAAATTGATTAGGTTAATTTTTTAAATTGGATGAAAGTTAATCCAACTCAACATCTTATGAATTGATTAATGGATTTTGTAGGTTTAAGACTTAATTCAACAAATATTATTAAATAATAATAATATAAATATTATTTAATTATTTTAGTAATTAAGTATGTATTTTTAAACATTAAATTATTTAAATATTAGTTAATATTATTTCTAGATAAATATTCTAAAAAACTATAAAATAAATATTTTAAAATTATATTTTTTATTAAAAATATATTAATTGACCCAACACAATCTAAGCTCATAAAATATATTAGATTATGTTAGATAAAAAGAATTGCAAAAATTCAAATCAACCTAATCCAATATTTTTTTAATTAGATTAGTTAATGGGTTTAGTCAAACTTACTCAAGTAACCCAATCACACCCGTAATTAAAATTAAAATAATCTGCAAGAAAAAAATATAATAATAATAATAATAATAAGTGTAATTATTTATTTTAGGAGAAAATGATGTAAGAAAAGTAAAAGTTATGCTTTTAAACTAATAAATAAATTAAATAATTATTAGTTATAAAATATTTATTTTGAAGAAATGAAAAAAAGAAAATTTTTAGAAAAATAATATTTTTATTTACATTTTACCCATTTTTTTTCTCATATATACATAAAAATAAAATATGTGCGTACAATTTAATGAAAAAATGTCGTCTTTGTCACTATCTTTGTTATTAAATAAAAAAATTAATTCATTTTCCTATACGAATTTATTTTTTACTTTAATTTTCGTTCAAACTACTTAAGATTATAAAAGAAAATAACTACTACATTTCAAATTTAATATATTTAAATATGATTAAAATTATAAAATTCTTTGTTTTAATACAGGTTCAGTGTACAATCCTTCTGTATAACGGATACTTATCATAATTGATATCTTAAAAAAAATATTGTGTAAACTTTAATTCTAAATGTATTTATATATATATATATATATATATATATATATATATATATATATATATATATATTGAATACTTTTCATAAGGTAATAGGAATATTTATGAGAAAATACGTTACACTTTTTCAAACTTGTTTCAATAATGAAAACATCATAAAATTTTAACATCATATAAATAATAGAGAATTTGTTTTTTTAATTATAAAGCTTTTACTAACGGAATAATTTTCTTTTAGTTAATAATTTTATCTAGTTAAATTTAATATTAATATTTTAAAAAGTTATCAATGATTAAAAACCCCTTTATAATAATGAAATGAATTGTCTATCTAATTTTAAAATATAATTTTATAACAGATTTTTAAAACATAATTTATATATTATAAAATATATACTTCTTATGAATTTTAGATATGTAAAATAAACATTTATTCTGTGTAACATGCAAATCAAAATACTATTTTGTTATATCCTTAGAACACAAATAATTAATTACAGTGGAAAATGTTGAACAAGTTCACGCGCAATTAATCCTTTGTTTGTTCATTATTGAAATGGCTAATTAAATTACATGTTTGGATTACCAACTCACAAAAAGTGCTCCTGTAACCTACCTTTTTTATGTTCAATTATTTTCTTTCTAGTGAATAACCAAAATAATAGAAGATTTTACATTCTCTAAATCTTTTTCAAGAAATAGATGATAATTCCTCGATAGGAAAATATTGTTATTATTTAATGCTTTTATTTTGAGTAATTAAAAAAATCACAAGTATAATAAAAAAAACTCTTTCTAAATATTTAAAGAGATGATATATTTAAGATTTAAATCCTAAAGAATTGATTAAACTGGAAATGTTATCCTAAATCATGATAATGAAATTTATTTAAGTGTTATCATTATTTTGTAAATTAGGCAGGTAAGTTTCTTTCGTAAATATTTAGGATTAAAAAATAAAAATAATCTTCATAAACTAAACTTAACTTATGTCTGAATTAAAAACCATTTTTTTAAAATCTCATTGTAATTTTTAGCATTTAAGATGCTTGTTTTTATATATGCATGTGTGCAAGTGTGATACAGATTATATGTTTTTTCTTTTTAGAAATTTGGGCATTGTTTTTGTTGAATTGAAATGGTAAGTTTGGTGAGAAGGAGAATAATGTTTAAAAATGAAAGTGAGTTTGGGATGAGGGTGAGAGTTTGAGGTAACTGGATTTGGAACCAAATGAGGGAAAATCAGTGATGGAGTGTTTCAATATTTATGGAAAGTGAGGATGAATGGATAATCATATCTTCACCACCAACATCATCAACACGCAAGGAATCACCACACACACATATGAGGTTAGTATTTGTATTAAATGTTGGTTTATAATCTTGATTTTGGTATCATGATTGGAAATTCTTATAAGAGTGCAGCTTACTTGTTAAATTCTGTTGAACTGAAAAAAAGTTCTAAAAAAAAAAGTAAATTAAATTCAAACTAAGCAACGTTTTAGAGATTTTTTTTTCTATAATGTTTCATTTTATTTTAATCTTTCCCTACAAAAATAACTAACATGATAATTATTTTTATTAATGTGTGTATCAAATTTCTTTTATTCTCAAGTTATCTCAATTACAAAGATCCATTGAAAAGAATAATTTTTCTTTTACGGCAAAATAATGATATTTTGTACATATTATACTAGGTCTGAAAGTAATTGAAGGTGCATCAATATTTTAGGAACTAGTAAATATAGTTTAGAGAAACTTTTACTGATTTATTGTCTTTCTTACTTAAACTTCGCAAAAAACTTTCATATCATTTACTTTAAAATGGAGGAATATTTGGTTAGTGAAAAACTTTTATTTATTACATGAGAATCTTTATTAACGAAATGAATCATTTTATTTTTTTTAAACAATAAAAAAAATCATAAATTTGCTTCTTCTTTTTAGGTTGAGAAGATTGTTTCCTTACTCCTGCACATTTTAAACTATAATTGAATTAAAAATATTTTTAGAGGTTAACTAATTTACTTAGAATATTTGTTTCTAAAAAGGCAATTGCTCTATCTGATTTAGCTACGAAATTATGATGGAAACTATATTTATGAACATTTGTGTTTACATTTACAAGACCCATATTAGGTATAACATGAAAAAGAATAAACTTCACAAACATGCTCATAAGGTTATCAAAGCAATGAGGTGAGTGATGACATATTGTAAATTAAGTGTATTTGTTAAATCTAAAAGTTAGAAAAGGATTAAGAGAACAAATCAAGTCCAATTGGATATCGAATGGTTGAAATGAATGAATGCAGTAATAGAGAAAGACATACTGAGGTAGAAAAGTAGTAAGTGTTAACAAAGTGAAGTAGTTATAAGAAGATAACTGTTTGAAGATTCTAAATTGTAATTTTTGTTAGACAAATGACCTCTAGAGGGGGTGAATAGATGCACAAATTAAAATAGATGTCAAATTAAAAATTTATTTGTGAGTCAATAATTTGTTTGAACACAGATAAAGCGGAAGCGATAATATAATCAGGAAAAGAGAAAGAGAAAAAGGGAAATAGAAGAGCACACAGAGATTTATATTGGTTTGGGTATAATCAACCCTACATCCAGTTCCCAATCAACTCTTAACACAAGAGTGACTCCTAATTCACTATATTTCAAATTCAGTTTACAAATTACAATCAACTCAGCAGAAGAATCAGTAAAAAGTAAATTAATTAAAAAGACAATCACCTCCTTAGAAACCCTCCCTAGAATACCACTAGGGATGAACACCTCCTCTGAACAAATCAAAGGATGAAAAAACACCTCCTTAGAATCCCGCTAAGGATGAACACCTCCCTAGAATCACACTAGGGATGAAAACCTCCTTTGAACAAATCAAAGGATGAAAACACCTCCTTAGAATCTCACTAAGGATGAATACCTCTCTAGAATTGTTAGAAATGTAGGCTGAGATCAAGAGGGGGGTGAATTGATCTTTGAAAGTTTTTCGCAATTTACAAATTATTTATTTCAAAGATTAAGAGTACTGACCAATTCTTGAATCAAACACAACAAACAATTAAAGTAAAGGCAGTGACAGAATTAAAGAGAGAAAGGTTTAGAAAGATACAACCAAGATTCATACTGGTTCATCCAATCCCAGGGCTACGTCCAGTTTCCAGCAAATTCCAGCTGGGTTCCACTAGATTGAACGTTTTACAGATTACAACTTCAATCCCACACTCAATCTACTACAAGAACCAAAATTCTAGTCCTTCACCAAGAACCAATTTCCAGTTCTTGACCAACCCTGCAACCAAATTCCAGCCACAGAAACCAGTGTCCACACTTCCAGGCACCCACAATACAGAAAAGAAAAGTAAAGAAACAAAAAGAAGAAACTAGAACACTCAAACCAGTTTTATGCAGCTCTGTAGAATGAGTTTCTTCACCAAAAGAATGCAAATATTGCCTCAAGAAAGAACTTCTAAGAACTTTACAAAACTAGCACGATTCTCTCTTGAAAGTAGCACTTATGATTGCTTGATTGATTGCCAAAAGATGTGTTTTAAAATGTTCAAGCAATTTCGTTTATATAGAAGTTTTTCCAAACTCGCTGGTTTATTTAATCTGTTAAAATAATCTTTTAATCTGTTAAAACTTCTTTTAATCTGTTAAAATGTTCTTGATTATTTTCCAGATTTGTTTTAATTGATACGACAACGTTTATATCAATTAAAACTCTTTGTAAAAAATATTTCAAATTGTTTTAATCGATTGTTTTGTCTTTTAATCGATTAAAATACTACTAAAGATTTTCATAAGTGATTTTAACTGATAAAAAACTGTTTTAATCGATTAAAACACTTTGAAAAAAGTTCACTTAGTTATTTTAATCGATTGAAACACATTTTAATCAATTAGAATTCTGCCAAAAGATTTCATAAAACTTTTTTAAGTTATTTTAACTGATAACATACTTGTTTTAATCGATTAAAACCTTCTGGAAAAACCTCTTAGTTGTTTTAATCGATTATTTCGCATTTCTATCGATTAAAATACTGACAGAACAACTTTCAAAACACTTCAAGTTATTTTAATCGATTATTTCGAGTTTGTATCGATTAAAATTCTGCCATAACACTTTTCAAAATATTCTAAGTCGTTTTAATCAATTATATCAATTCTATATCAGTTAAAATAATGGCAGAAGGTTTTCAAAATTCCTTCTAATAAAAACAATCGATTATTTCGAAAACATATCGCTTAAAAGCCTCGTTACAAAAGTGTTAAGAACATTTTAGCCGATAAAGCTCATATACTATTAGTTAAAATAGTTAATTTAAAAACTATTTAACAAAATACTTTATTTTTAACAGTTTAAACACGTTTTAGAGGCTTTTGCAAAATCTTTTAAATAAAGAAACCTCATGCAGCAGAGAGATAAGAATGATTATACCTAAGTAAAGATGCAAACTCACTAATCACTCTACCCTTTTATCTAAGTGACCCTTTGACTGCAACAAAGTAGTCTTTGACTTCATTTTAACTTCATCAAATCAACAAGATCTTTGTTTAAGTGATTCAATAAGATCTTCATCACTTTCAGTCTCCCCCTATTTGATGAAGACAAACACCTCTTTTGAATAATATCTCTGCAGAAGAAGTCACTTGAATATATAGATTAGTGAGTATTAAAAAATTAATCATTTTTCCCATTTCTCCCCCTATATTACTACTCCCCCTAAAATAAGGAAAATCATTAGTAAAAACAAAGCAAGCAAAACAATTATTTCTCCCCCTTTTGACTTCATCAAAAATAGGGAATAGAGGAACAAAACAAATACTATGCATGGTATGTATCAAAAATTTAGTTTTTGAAAACAGTAAAAAAATGAACAAGATACATTACTCATATAAAGACCAATCAAAGTTGATTCAAACTTATCTTCATTAACACGTTTGTAATGAATATAATTGACACGTGTAAAGATAAGGGAACCATGCTTTAGTAGCATGTTACAAGAACAACCATTAACTAAAGCCTTTAATTTTTCTTTCCAGGGTAATAATCGATTAAAAACAGGACAAAATCGATTAAAATGTTCTTGTTACTGGTTTTAATCGATTAAAATGTTGTTTTAACCGATTAAAACAGTGATGAAATTAGAAATTTAGAAACGTAAGTTCATTTAATTGATTAAATCGATATTTAATCGATTAAATCGATATTTAATCGATTAAAACAGTATGAAAAATTTTGTATAAGTGCTTTTAATCGATTGAAGTTTGTTTTTATCGATTAAAACAATCAGTTTTGAAAACTAAGTGTTATTTGATGCACCTGAAATGCCTAATTCAGTTCGAATTTTGTAAAATTGATTATTAGGAAAATGTTTTAAGATAATATCAACTAGATTGATTAAGTTTTAACTAATAGATCCAGCGAAATCAGAATAGTATCTTATCTAGTTGATTTAACTGATGTAAACTAGTTTTAGTTGATACAAATACATGACATACAGCTTTTAATCGATTAATACGCAAATTAATCGATTATATTAGTGCGAATTTCCTATGTAAATGTTTCTTTTAATTGATTTAATCGATTGAATCGATTTTGTATCAGCTAAAATTATCAGAAAAGTATTTTTGATTCTATCTAGGCTCTCTTAATTCAAATGAAAACCTACGTCATATTAAGCAAAGTTAAAAGATTGTTTCTGGTTTAAAACCAGTTAATATTACAGTCCAAAATGAAAATTAGCAGCAAAAGAAATAAGACATAAAGAAAGAAAAAAGATTATGATAGAAAGGAACCCTTGTTGTCAAAACTCAATCATCCCAATTCCCTTGATTGAGCTGCATATCTTCCAGTTTGGTATAGATATCAGCGATCTGATTTCCAAGGTTTGTGAACTGTGTGTTGGTCTGCTGGAAGTGTTGATAGGTCATTTGCATATGCTTCCTTTGGTTTTCCTGCATTGTGGCCATTTGAGAAAGCATAGACCTTTCAAATTGTGAAAGAGGAGTCCCACGGTCAGGTTGTTCCATGTAGGGAATTATTTCCATGTTCTCATATGAAGCCTCCCCACCAGTGGACTCGGGAACTTCAGCAACTGGAGGAGAAGGAATTTGTTCAGCTTCTTCTTCATCTTCATCCTCATCTTCAGACATTCCAGCATCAATTTTTGAAATCCATTCATCATCAATTTTGATATACCCCTTTTTTTCAAAGTGGAGTCATCAATTTCATTTGAAGCTTTAGGAGTTTCCACACTTTCTCCTGTAAGATTAACTTCAAAATATCTAAAGAAATTGTTAATCAACATGGTATACGGCAGTTTGTAATCCGCAAACCTTTTTGCCTTCAACATGTGATCTTTAATTACATAAACCCAATTTACCCGAATATTATTAGAGATGCAGTACATGAGAGCAAGATCTCCCTCATTAAGTATAGC